TTTACCATCGAAAGCAGCGCCAGAAGTTCTGGCTCTGCAAGTACTGCCACATACACAGAATACCTAGCGGCGAGTTCAACGTTGAGAAGGCTACTTTGTCAGCTATGGCTCACCTAGGGCGGCAACAGCGTGGCCACAGGGTTGATAAAGATGGCCAGATCAACTTCTCTACTCCAAACCAGACGTCAGTGTTGGCGACAATGCAGTTCCAGGGCATTAATGTTCCACAGGACGTGGCCAACAAGCTGGCGGACAGCTTCAATCGGGCGAAGTTTCTACGCGCTGTTTAACACTGGGTTGCTGATGATAATCAGGCTTTACGCGTTATTGAGAAGCCTGCCTTCCGCAGCATAATTGCTGCTGCTAGACCTATTGCTAAATTAAGCCTATAGAAGACCTATTATACACTCCGAGAATCTATTATAGCTAAGTATAATTCCTATATACCCGCTGTAATTAAACACCTCCAGCAGGCAACTAGCCTTATCTATATATTATTTAATAATTAGACTTTAGTTAGCAATAAGTATGCGCTTACTAGGATATATATATATTATCTAAATAAGAATAGCCGGCTAGAGGACTACTTATTAGGCCTGCCTGTTCTTCTAGGCCAGCACTTAGGCAAGAATATTGCGGAGATAGTTAGCTTAATATTATAATTATTTAAAATTAATACTAAGCGCCTTAGCTATTTTATACTTAATAATACTATAAATAATAATACTGCTTTAATAGTAATAGCTAATAAGTTTAAGTTTAGCATCTCCTAGTATTAGTTATATTATACCTGCTATATTTTTAACTTAGCTGCCTAAGCAATTATATAGGGTAAGAATAAAAAGGTATTTAAAAGTATAGATATAAATATATAGGTAAAATTACATCTCTAATTTTATTACTATTCTATATTACGCTAATAGTAATATAGGAAAAAGAACTGCTAATAGCAGAGTAGAGGAAAGCCGGGCCTATTAGGGTGCTATTTAATATTATATTATCTATTAGCGCCTCTTTATAAGCCCGAGAGCTGTTTATTAAGCTGCAGGCAGAAAACTTAAAGCACTGCAATAAATTTTATAAACTAAAGAAGCTTATTAAGCCTATTAGAACTTAGTAGAACTTTTACTATAATTGCTTTAAGTGCGCCTATAAGCTCTAAGGCCCTTTTAACGCGTATATATATATAAAGCTTAAGGAATATAATATTAAAGTAGTATTTTAGTATAAGAATATAAAAAAGAAGAAACTGCGGTGCTTTATTAAGAAGTAAGGGCTAAATACAGGTAATTAGGTAATAATTATAGAGTATAAGCAGCTGCTTAAGCTATTTAAAAATGCAATAATATAGCTATAGGGCAGAGGTTTAGCTAGTAGCTATAGAGCTATTTAGGAAGTTCTTATTATATTTAAATAGCTACTTTTAGCCTTTAAAAAGCAGAAGAAGAGGCTTAAGGCTATTAACTATAAGAATTTAGATGCACCTAAAGATTACTTAGTTATTAATATTAACGCCGCCTATAAAAAGCTTGCAGATTACTATAGGAAGATAGAAGATACCTTTATCTATTTTGCAGCTATAATACTTTATCTAGTATATAAACATGTGCTTAAGGGGCTATAGAAGGTGCTAAAGGATTATAATATAAAGCGCGATAGGCTATATCTATATAAGAACTGGCTTTTAAATAGCTATAGCTCCTTCCGGCTGCTGTGGCAGGCATATAAGGATAAGGTGGCTGCAAAGGCTGCTGGCGCAGTATCTCCTACCTTGTCTCCTAATATAAGGCCTGCAAAACGCCGTTGAACAAGCCCTATAAACGACCGAGCAGACTTCCTTAGGAACTCTATAGAGGAGGGCAAGCAGGAGATGGAGGAAACTGTTAACGACAAGTACAAGAGGTGGAAGCGCGAGCCAACTCTGAAACAGGACAACCCACTAGCGAAGGACCCTATTTAGTACTAGGTTATCACAAGAGATCGCTATTCTATTCTAGGCCAGCTAGCCCTTGATATCTACTCCATCCCAGCCTCCTCAGCTAATTGTGAGAGAATTTTCAGCGAACTTGGCGATCTCCTGGGCGTACGACGCCTTAATATAAAGCCTGAGTTACTTAGTGCTCTGCAATCTATACGCTCCTGGCGTCGAATTGGCATCAAACCTCCTAAGTAGTAATCAACTTATCAATCAATCTATCAATCAAACCAATCAATTCAACTTGGGGGTCAAAAAGTATCAATCTCATCAACTCAACTTGAGCATCTCAGAAATTAATCAAATCAAATCAAATCAATCACAGCCTGTTCAACGAAGCAATCAATCAACTTGGAGACGTCAAAGTTGATTGATTGATTGATCCCCACTCTGAGAGGAAGCCGAGAGAAGGCTGCGGAGAAGGGCGCCGTGGAGAAGGCTTTCCAGTGGCACGTCGATGAGAATGGGAAGCACAACCCTGCTGTAAAAAACGTGTAGATCCAGGGAGAGATGGCACGCTATGATGAGAATGATATGAATGCACCTCCCACGAAACGAAAATCCGGATTTACGCGTAATCACGTGTTTGCATTTCTGTTCCTGTTTTCTTCCACCCCACCATAGAGAGGTTCATCGGGAGGCTTTACGAAAGCCGATCAAGTGGAGTACTAGATGATAGGATAGTCAAAGGCCGCTTTTGGGTTACCAACACCCTCGGAGAGAAGTCCTATCCGGGCTTAAGACATCGAGGAACATCATTTAAGTGAGAATTGCGTATCAGATACGTGCATAATATGTGCCGAGCTCTGACCCACAGTTCCAAGGAACTAGGGGCCAGTCCCTGTGCACTAAAAGACCCCATCCTTACGCGACCAAGCCGGGGGGTATGGATGCAGGAGGAAGCCTTCTTCAACGGTGGGTTCCTAGGCTTTTATCACGCCATGCAGTATTGAGATCCACTCGCCATGCCATGACTGACTCCGATCGGACATCTCCTTCGCACTTAAGACTTTTAAACGCGTAAACAGGCTGCCCAGAGCTCCAGAACTCGGTCTTGTCTACTACGCAGTTTTCCGTCTGCAAAGTGATGCGCAAAAGAAATGGCAATACTAAACTACCCAAGCCCGCTAGAGGTATTAAAATGGATTGTCATCATCCTCGTACTGGGTCTCGCCATCTACATTGTCCAAAATGAAGTTGATCGCTATCGAAAGCGTATAAGAAATCTCCCCGGTCCCATTGGCTACCCTGTCGTAGGCAATCTGTTCCAGGTAATCCCATTGCTTCAACTCTTCTTGATGTTCATCAACTAAGTTCCCTTTCAGCTTCGCGACAAAGTCACTGCTCAGCATTATCAAACCTGGGCAAAGACATATGGCGACGTCTTCCAGGTGCAACTAGGCAATACCACTGCGGTGGTGATCAACAGCTCCAAAGCCGCAAAAGCTCTCTTTCTAGGCCAAAGCCACGCCCTAAACTCGCGGCCGACCTTCTACATCTTCCATGGAAAACTATCCAAGGCCGGAAAGTCGGTTACGAGTATTGGCACTAGCCCCTGGGATGACAGTTGCAAGCAGAGGAGAAAAGCTGCTGCGGGGGCTTTGATAAAGTCCAAGGTTGAGAGCTATGCTCAGATCCTGAACCTTGAGTCTCGCGAGTTTCTTAAAGATATTCTTGCGGAGTGTCAGAATGGCGAGGTCGATCTAGACTTCCGTCCCGCCGTGAGACGCTTCTCGCTGAATTTAAGTCTAACGCTAAATTATGGAACACGGTAAGCATTGCGTGCAATCTCTTCAGGGTTTCTGGCCGCCTTCGATATCTGACCATCAAAAGGGTCGCAAGCGTAAAGTCCCTTGACGACGACCCCCTACTTCGTGAGATTATCTACGTTGAGGCAAAGATCTCCGCTTTCCGCGACACGTCGAAGAACTACGCGAACTACATTCCTCTACTGCGCTATTGGGAGCCATTCGCATCATTGTTTGGACTAAACAAGAACCCAAATGAAGCAGCGGATATTGGACGTCGACGTCTTGCGTACAACAACGTTCTCCTAGAGAAACTAGGCCAACAAGTAAAAGAAGGACGCGATAAGCCATGCATCCAAGGTGCCGTTTTGCGAGACCCGGATGCCGCAAATTTGACGAGAGAAGAACTGATCAGTGTTAGCCTGAGCATGATGGCCGTAAGTCCTCTCCTCCGTGGCCTTAAGACATAAGTCAGCTCACCGTGATCAATACCTCAGGGCGCTGACTCCAACATACCCACCCTCGGCTGGGCAATCCTCTTCTTAGCTCACTCCCCGGATATCCAAGAAATTGCATACACAGCCATCCGGGACGCCGGCGTCCTCGAGCTCCCATCCACCTCCTACGCCTCTACTAAGGTTCCCTACATGGGCGCCTTCACCAAGGAGATATCCCGCTACTTCGTCGTCCTGAAACTCGGCATCCCGCGTGCAACCTACACAGACGCGACATGGGGCGCTGCCACCATCCCTGCCAACACGCTCGTGTTCTTGAACAGTTGGGCCTGCAACAGAGACCCCGAACACTTCCCAGACCCTCACACGTTCAATCCCTTGCGCTGGATTCCAAGCGAAGATGGCTCCACGCCGCATGCGCACCAATTTGCTTTCGGGATTGGGGGAAGGATGTGTGTAGCGCAGCATCTGGCGCATAATGCGCTCTATACTGTTTTCTTGCACTTGATTGCGCATTTCAGGATTTTGCCGGCTGCTGGAGAGAGCAGGGATGAGATACATCCCCTTGAAGGGTTGAAGGGGAAGGCGACGTTTGTTGGGACGCCTAGGGGGTCGAGAGTGAAATTTATACCAAGACAACCCGAGGAGCTGGTCGAATGGCTGGGATGAAGTCAACGGAATACCTGGAATGAGAATGATTAGGTAGAATAGGTGAAGGAATGATTACCATGGGCTGAGGTTTGGTGAGCAGGACGTGAGAGAACTAAGTCAAGGAAGTATAAAGAATGAGTTAACGACGCTTCGTTCGGGATTCCCTTTCAAACCACCATTCAGGACCAAAATCCTAGCCATTCGTATTCGAGTTTTACCTCTTATTATGTCTTCTCCTAGAAATCATGTCGTGATCGATGAGAGGGCTGTCCGCGGCACCGTTAAATTTGTCATTGCAGGCCACAAGCGCAGTTTCATGGAGACAACTCGGAAGTTATCCTTATCCTTTAGCCAATTCTAAATCCCGGGAATTCTCAGTTTTAGGGATATTAGAGGGAGACGCCAGCCATCTAGTCTTGTCTACAAGTGTCCTTCCTTAGCTTCACTTACTTTCAGCTTACCGTGAAAACAGCAATCTTAAAAACTACTGCAAAAATCTATCTCCACGCGGGAAGTTAATAAAAAGGCCGGCTTGAATCTAGCTGCCTACCACACTTTCTGAGTGGCTAGAATAGAAGGCGGCTGCAATAACTTTTGGTTCCGAGATTAGACTTATTTTATCATGTATTAAATATAAAGGTGAGCTCTAACGCAGAGCCCCGTTAGAATATCAAATTTTATGATTACTATTCGTTACGTCTACTTAATTACGCGGGGTTGCTGCACCATCCATTTTAGCTCCACCATGGACTACTTTACTTTTGCTCTATATCAAGCATCAGTCTCAAGGCCAAACCGATTTTCGTCTTCAAAGTCAAGTCGGTATGTATTAACAACGCTGATAACCGCAGGTAAGATGCTGAGTCATTCGTTTCCTAATGACTCACGGTAATCCCCCGCTCGAGTTGACGAAAAGCTTCATACTACCCACCAGAACTCGCACGCATATCCGTCCTACCATGTCTTCCCCGTTCATGTCGCTGCCGCGGGAGCTGCGGCAGCGCATCCTGCTTTTAGCTCTACCGCAAGATGTCCAGCCGGCCGTCGTCCCATACTTTTCCCTCCCTGTTCAGAATCTTCTCCACATAAGCCGCACTGTTCGCCAAGAAATGCCCTGGGTCCTAAACAATTACTCTCCACGCTTCTATCTCCGCAGTCCTTCACATCTCGCCGACTTTCTCTCCTTCCTCAGCAAATACCGTGGGGTTCTCTCGTTCGAATACAAGCCCAAGTTTGAGCACGTCAGTCTCAACATCTTCCATGATGCAGAAGTCGACACAATGCAGTGGACCTGCTACTGCCGTGGCCGCGACATGCATACCCACGACGAGCTCGTTAACGCGTGGGTAGTCGCCGTCCCCACGATACCCGAGCAGGTGAAGACGATCCTTCTGGACATCACCCCCGCACCGGGGCCGATGCGAGAGGACAGGCCCGAATGGGTGCCCGGCTTCATTCAAGACAACCGCATCTCCAAGCGATTTGTCACCGAGCATGAGGCCGTTCTTATGCACCTCGTCCAGTGCACCCAACAGCAATTCGGTAACGGTGTCAGTATACAGCTCAGCGGTCAACTGAGCGAGAAGAGTCGCTCGAGTCTCGATAACGTCGTAGCTCGTAGCGCCGTGGCCGGCATAGATATCAGGTTCGTGGGTGATATGCTTGCAGTGCAACCTCGAATCCCTAGGCCACAGATCTGGAAGGCTGTGCAGAAGTTAGCTCCCGTTCGGTATAGATGGATCGAAGAAGAAAACCGCTCCGTGTATGTGCCTCCGAGGAATGAGCAAGAGCGGCAGTTGGCAGGAATGCACAGTATCCACTGGTCGGTAGATACGCAGAAGCTGTGGACGAGGATCGCGAATCAGGACGAGGCGTGGGCAATTGCGCTGCTCCTGAAATTTGGCCAGTTTATGACGAGTGGCGATCTCGACCGGGTCGATTTCTCGCCCATGGATAGTAGACAGCGCGCTTTAGTACATAATATGGCAAAGGACTTGAATTTTAACTCTCAGGCTGTTGGGGAGGAGCCGGAAAGATTTGTAAGGATTGAGAAATACACTCGAAACGAATGAGGCCAGCCCGAATCTGGGACATCTGAGGCGAAGGTTAGTACGCATGATGTTAATGGGTTGACCTGGATTCTTGTGGGTTCTTGGAGGTTGCGGGTTGAGGTATGCGCTGGTAACGTGCGGCTGCAGTCAGAACTATAGGACCAAGCTCCCGCTAAATTCACCCCGACTCGGACAATCAATCCCAAATGTATTATTTCGAAACCTATCCAGTGTCCGCCTTGTAGGGGCTACTTGTTCAACAGCCTGACTATCTCACGTGCTCAATCATTTCCATCATATTCAAATTTGAAAGTTGAGTTCTCTCTATAGATCAGTGACAAGAGTGGTGCTCAAGATATACATGTGAATTGAAGAGGCATGCCCCAGATGGCCGCGAAATGCTTCAAAAGAGAGCATAGACCCAAAAGGACTATCAGCGGATCCGTTCAAATATAAACAACGTTGTAGTCTCCCAACAGCGTAGATCCATCCTCTGAGAGGGCTGGGTTGCAGAACTCCAATGGATCCGATACTCCGTGTCCACAGTCTACCGTTGCCATATAGCAGTTATACGTTGGCGTGAAGGTTGCAAACGCAGTCGTTCCTAGCGCCTGGCCAAGGTTGTTCGTCACCGTTACTGTGGTTCCGTTTTGGACCGCCTCGCTCGTTGATTTGCCGATCGCAATGGCGAAGTCGTAGGACACACCGACCGCGACCTGGAAGCCGAGCAGATCAGAACCAGCGGTGGTTGTGACGGAAGCGCCGACTGTATTGGTGATGGTTTGGTCGGAGGTTGATGTCATGGTAGTTGAGAGCGAGATGCCCTTGTTGATGAGAAAGCTGCAGGAGCCAGTGGTACACGTCTGCGTGTTCGCGACGAGGGTTTGGTAGCCAGCGGCCGGGAAGGCATCGCCCTGGGGGGTGGCAACGCAGTCGTCACGTGCAACGAGGGCGCGGGCGCGGGCGGCAGGGGAGAAAGAGTGCGAGCTTTTGGACCTCAGCTCTGGGCTTCTTTCTTCGTGCTTTTTTGCAAGGGACTGAGCTTCTTCCTTCTTCGAGTCGACCTCTGCGTCACGCTTCTTGAGCGTAAGGGCATCGTTGCCGGCTGAGATGAGAGCGCAGTCATCGACACCGCAGCAAAAGGTTCCTGATAAGTTCGAGCCCTCCTAGACACATCGTCAGCTCTGAGCTTCGGATAAATGTTCCGCGCATGAAGCCTGACTTACAGGTACAGCAGAATAATAGCAGCCGCCGTCTCTGCCCGCATTGATGATCACGTTTCCATACGGCTGTATGGGACCACCAAGCTGGTCGTAGTGCCATTGGGAGTAGTCCGTCATTAATGCGATGCGACAGTGGTCTTCATCCTTGTACGCCTTCCACCAAACATTGTAGGCACTACTCCCCGGAGCGAAGGCCGCGCCCGGAAACTGGAGGTTGTCGAAGTATCTAGTGGAGTCCAGCTCTTCGCTAACGCCGTGGTTAATGTTGAACCAGTCCCATTCGCTGGGATCGGGGCTGTCGGTGTAGGTAGCATTGATGGGATTCTGGCAGCCTGCGTCCGAGAAAGGCTTCATGTGGAAAGTACCGGCCAGGGCAGTGGACATGAGAGACGAGATGACTGCTACGGCAGCGGGAGAGAGTTGGAAAGGCATGATAAAAACAACTGTCTAGTTCAACGAGACTGGAAACGATGGAAACCGAAGAGGCTAAAGAAAGAATATGGTCGGATGAGCGATGTTGTATGATGAAATATAGGAATGGCTATATACTTTTCGCGGCCTCGAGAACGAGCCGATCTACCCACATGAATTCCTAGCGTCCAATGCATGATGGTCTACACTGCCTAGGAAAGTCGAAACACTCCCCGGCGACCATGATCGCACGACGTATGTTCGCATCCTTCCAGCTGTAACCTCATCCTTCGAGATACCAAACCTCCATCCTTCGGGATGGCATCTACTCAAAGGGTATCCTTTGGTGGGGACGTTCAGGGCTGGAGTGAGGCACTGCTGACTTGCTCATGGTCTCCGCCCCACGGACGCGGGCTGTGCTGCTGACCGTAAGCTTGGGGGTAATTTAGGTGGACGGGATGGAGCGTTCGACTGCCTATCTCGGCAGCGACCTGCAGCAGACAGATTGATGTAGGCCAGGGGACTCCAAGGAAAAGGCATGAGTGAGGTTACCTGGCTACGTCACGCTAGACGCTTGGATAGGGTGCAGGAGTCAAAGCGGTATAGGAGTAGTAGAGGTCGAGCTTGGCGTTCTGCCAATCGCCAGGAGGACTGCGAGTGGTGTAATGAATACTCCACAGTTTGCGGCGATGAGCACGCGTCCATGCAGCGAGACCCTTGCGGCGCGGGGGCTAGGGTGTTTTAAGTCTAAATATGAGCCGCCTCTCCCCTGTCTAGCAGACGTTTCGAATCCCCATTTCGAATCCTTCTCGGCTCTACTTTGTCTACAAAGTATAGAAGTTAGCGTATCGACTCGAATCGGTCCAGCCTTGCGGAGCCGAGCCTAGCTCCAGAGCTTAGATGCCCGCGCTGCGTGTCTGAATCCTTTCCCCATAGAATATCGACGCCTGAATTGACTGGCCATCTGCCGAAGCCGAATCCAATGTTGGAAAGAGTCCAAGACCTCCGCAACTCGCACCCAAGCGCTGTTGCTATCTGTTGCTATCACCCGATATCGCATCCTTCTCTTTAGACCCAACACACCGTAGCTTGTTCGCAAACATGCACTCCTACAGTAATATCAGTTCTGCTCTATTATGCTTATTTCAACCTGCACGCCGTGACACCTCTGCAATCCTTAAAGAAATATTTACCGGGGTCGAAGCTTCGACCAGACATGTCGGCAAAGCCGTGCGGCGAGGCGGTAGCGCGTCACATGACGTCCGCTGCCCTTCCGCCAGTGCAGTGTGAATTCAATATCAACACCAACTCTCACCCCAGATGGCTTGTTTCGAACCCCTAATTAGCATTTCGTCTTGTTGCGCCAATCCAATCCCCTCCAGTCTAGTCTCTTCCCTATACAGTCTGTTACATAAGCTTAGACTAAAGTGGAGTTCAGGCTACCTTCTAGCTTTCACCCACTGCTACCGCCGCAAGAGGCGTCACCTTACCGCGTGTCTACGACCGGCGATTCTGCCATCCAACACGATGCCTAGGCCGTCAAGGCGGATTGCAACGTATTGGCCTATCCCGTGCTGTAGGCCCACAAGTGGCTCAAGCACTTTGTGGCGGACATTTTGGCGGTGAAGTATAGCACCCAAGCGCTGTTATTATCGGATCCTTCTCTTCTGACGACACACCATAGCTTGTTCACGAATTGCGCTCCTACAGTGTTCCCCTCCTAATAACTACCAGTTCTGCTCTATTATGCTCACCTCAACCTCCACCCCGCGACAGCTCTGCAGTCTTTGCAGAAATGGTTCGTACATCTCTAGGGGACGGCAGGACTGGCGGCCTCATGTTCGCGGCATTTCTGTCAGGTGATCCGTTCATCCCGGCTGGTGATCTAGAAGCTAGTCCAGCCGCCCCTTGCATATGCGATCCTGCGTAAATAGGCTTTCCTTTGAGCAGCAACATTAACCGATCCTTTAACAGATACGGCAACCCGATTCCAAATATCTTGTTCCTTCGCCTGATGGAATTTGGCAGTTGGTCTCTGTTAAGTATGCCAGCTCTCCAACTCAAGACATGTCGATAGCCCATTATCGACAGAACTTTGTGAGTTCCAGCGAATTCGATCTTTCTCCAGTTTTGCTCTTGTGTGAGCGTCTGTTTCTTTGAAATACTCATTGTACAACACAACCAGGACGAGTGCTCCTCTGGGCCAGGATCACGCCGATCTGGTGCCGTATACCCAAGTCGGCACGCTAAAAGTGCTGGAGCCATCTGGCGTTCGTTGTCAAAGAACGAGCAGACAGGTCGTCGGGAGCCAAGTTCTCTTATGTATATGCCCTCGACGAGTTCATCTTCCACGTAGTTGAAGACGTAGCGGGCATGTAATGGCTGGTATAGTTACCTAAAAGTACTGCTGCCGGCGCTGCGAGAAATAACTGGACCGGTGATGGAGGCTGGCTGACTTTGAGTTCTGACTGTAGCCACACCACCAACACACACTCCCTTTACCTCCATCCTGCACACACACCCCATATCTTCGCTTTGGAGACTACTTCCATCGTCCATACCCTTAATATGCGCCCTCCTCTCCCGCCTCAAGTTGCTTCCAATGCCTGGCCTCACTCCTCGCCCCAAGTTGCTTCCAATGCCTGGCCTCACTCCTCGCCCAAGATCTCCGTCGTGAAGCGAACAGAGAACATCGTTTGACCTTTCAGTAATATCTCTCCAACCACTAGCTTAAGAGGCACGTTAACAGGTCTCCGGAACCAGCTCCCCAAACTAAGGGCTATCGATTGCCCGTTACCGCGATACTCCAAGGCGTCCCATCGAACTCTCTGTTCTCCTCCAGATGTGCTCTTGTGAGATCATCTATATTTTTGAAATAGAAACTGTACATCCATAACGGGTGATCCATTGGGCCTTGGTTTTCACTATTCGGTCCAGTATTTCCGAGCCTGTAGGCCAAAAGTACTGGAGCTATACTGGAGCTAGGTCCAGGTCGTTATCGAAGAACGAGCTCACAGGTGCTAAACTGCCATTAGTCCTGATAGTGCTCAGGCCCTGACGAAATACATCGTTCGCGTGGTCAAAGACGCACTGAACATGTCATGTCGGGTCAATTTCAATAAGCAAGACTCGGCTGTGTCCATCAGCATGCCCAACGAAGATTGCACAGCCTAAGCCCCTTGAGCAACGCAACACGCTGCTTTCGGAATCCCAGAAAGCAATTTAATCATTCAAAAACATCTTCACGATGGCACCGCATTGTCGAAGGCTCTGGGGCAATGAATAATAGTCCGGTAGGTAAAAATGATACAATTCGCTGCTCTTGGTGCTGAAAGCAGTGCGACGTTGCTCGACGTAGATGTTCCTAGTCTGCACCCCGCTTGCGGCTTTCGGGTTGAGTGTGCCGGCGGGAATGAGCTTGTGAGTATTAACACAAGTTCAAAACTTTTCTCTCGGCATTTTCAAACCAGTCACTTTCCCTATAGCCCCATATGTACGCAACACCCCGCCGCGCAAATGTACCCCGCTTAAAGGGTATCTCAAGCAGGATCATACAGTTAGCAAAGACCTTGATTCCTCGCCGTGTGATATCGACGTCGACTGTTTTCAGGGCGGTAGCAACAGCCCACGTTTCCTCATCTTCTCGGGCTTCACTCCATTCAATATCGTCGGGTATATCATAGAACATGACTCCAATAGGGTCTCGAGAGCGAGACAAGAAGGGTTTGTCATCAACCACTTTGGTATCGAATACAGCGTATATGTCGGCGCTGCCTTCACGGGTACGTGAGTCGTGGTAAGCAGCGTTTGATCCTGCATTGCTCATACTCAGGCGGAGCTGATTGAACCACCGTTGAAACACTGCATCGTCGACAGGCCCATCCTGACTAATCTCTCGGGCTTCATGCAACGCTTTAGATGCCCGCAAAACTTCGGTTCCTTTCCTGAAAAGCGGGCTCTTGTATACTACTTGGACAACCGGTCCTCGAATTGTGAGAATCCTTTTTTCGATTCTGCCGAATAGGTTCTGATCCGAGGACAGATCTAACTTGGCCTCTAAACTTCAATAGCTGATCGGAAGTCTTCCTGGCGCTCTCCATGCTTTTGAGTTAGATTCGTTTGCTCAATAACTTCAAAGCGCGCTACTCCCTGAACGCCAATCCAAGACCAAGAAGGACCGCGCCACGAGTTTGGTCTGTCTCCGTGTTGATGAATGGGATCTTCGGGATCAGAGATCCACCACAAAAGATCCAAGTGGAGGGTTTCCTTCCAGAGGCCGGCGAGATATGTACCTCCAGTTCGCGTAGCGATGCACTTTGCTATGGCGCTGATGACAGGAAGTATATCGTGCGGAACTGTTAGTTGCCTCTTGGTGTACTCTGTGACGATGTGGGTTCACGATTCGAAGATCTGGAAGTTGCTAATGTTGGCTCCGAACAGAGCGTTTTCAATACTCGACATTCACTCCTCGAGCGGAGGAACACCGTGGCCGTCCTCCGCTTCTGTGCAGCACCTGCATTCCCAAATCATCTGATTGACCCCAAAATGTAAGATCCTTGGGGACAAAACCCTCTCTCGAAGGGTCCATCCTCTCCAATTCAAGTCCGAGTAGATGACATTGTGATAGAAGGCTGATCCACTCTCTGGGTGACTTAGCAGATCCTTGCCGTTATTATAATTATAGTATCGGGCATGAATGGTTAGCCTTTCTTCGTTTCCCATCTGTACGTAGAAAGGTAGGTATGGCTCGCCCATCGGCTCGCGCTGATGGAGGAACCCCGAATCATCATTGGCTGCGATATCGGCGCAGATTGTGAGTGTGGCATGGAGATAGACGTCCGCCATCTGAGCTGCTTGGGTTTCCCAATCTTTGGCATCATCTTGAAGGATGCAGAAACAGTCTATCTAAACATACTCGAACCCTAGCCGCTTTGATATGATAGCTGCATCGAGGGTTGTTTTTGAAAAGTTGGTCAATTCAAATGATTGGAAGCGTTTTTGGAGGTTTTCTTTCTTAGTGACCCAATCAGGCATTGGGCCGCTGTTCCAGCGGTGACTCAACGCAACATAATCGACTGTTTTGTCCTCTAATATTGTCAACCTTGCGGTTGTCACGTTCCCGAATTCTTCAATTTGGAGCAAACGTATCGGTGACGTAAATCGAAACCTGGGCAGACTTGTGGAGCTTGCCAGAACTAAATTCATTTGGTCTTCTCCAATCGTTGGCTCCTGCCTCTCGGTCGGATTCTGTCGGCACTCATTATGGTGTTCCAGGCACGTTTGAAGCCATGACATCGCCCGATCAATACTGGACGCTGAAAGCGGATCTGGATCTATAGCATATGCTCTCGGGACTGGCAATCGTACATGAGGAGACTCTGTCGTTGACATTAGCTGCTGCCGTATGTACATTTCTCCTAATCTCTCACCTAACGAGCATATTGATATCTCGTTTTTCGCCTTGTACGTAGCAACCAGATAGCGGCATGAACCACTGCACGAGGAAACGCCGTCTTCGCTATTGGAGCATTGACACTTTTCTTGGCAGATTACTGTTAATCCCGCGTTGTGTGTTTTTGGCCTCGTAGCATCAATCCCAACGAACAATAGTATGATTTGCGACGGGCCCTCGCTCATTTTAGACACGTCTCGAGATGGGGTGCTCTCTTCTATGGAAGCAAGAATAAGATCACACAATCGACAAAATGATGCGTTCTTCGAAAGCGTTGAAAAGTCGGGGGCATGAAAGTAGCCTCGTTGGGAAAGTAGATCCTTGAGATTGAGCCCTTGGCAATGGATACAAGGCTGGTCATCCTGTATTTTATGTAGCAGTCGACCGATGGTTGGCAGCTGGTGAAAAGTGATAAGAACTCTGGTGTATTGCTATGTAGGCGTAGTGGAGCCGAGCCAGCTAAGAGAAGGAACCCTGTTGAGCTGAAAGGTGACGTATGCAAGCTAAGGAATGGCGCTAAGGATGCGCTAGTATAGTAGCGTGTGGACGGCTGCCAATGGTACGAAGGAATTGCTTAGATGGCGTCGAAGAATATGCCCGCCAAGTCCAGCTCTGCATTCTCTCCCTCTCATACCACGACCATCCTTCCTCTTCTTTAGATGACATGCTGGAAATCAACCTTTAGTAGGCTTGATATCTTTTTCGATCTCCAGAGTATGATTGTCTTTACTGTTGAAGAAGATTGCTAGACTATAATCTTGGTGGAAAGTAGACTTAAAACGCCTACTCGAGAGGACTTTCAAAGAGTAAAGGAAAGGAGAGTCGAGACTGGTGCGCCTCTCCATACTTATATTCTAATGCTTATCTGTCTTCCAGGCAAAGCGGGGTTCAGCCTTCCTGCAAGGCTGAAGCGGCGCAGCTTTTCGATGACCTCCCTGTGCGGGGTTTACCACAACATCCCAGCCTGCACCAGCACAGCTTGCTTATCGGCGTGGTCCCTCTTCCACTCCTAGGTTCCCTTCAAGTTCATTCCAATGTTCAAGAGCCACAGGTGCTTTGCCAGCTGTCTTTTTTCATCGCCGAAAATGGCGAGCCATGAGCTTTCGTCGACTCCCGAGGTGTCGCGGAACGCCACGAATCTCAATCGCCACCAACCCACTCATTGAAACTGAATAGTCTTCGAATATAATGTGTTGCCCGAAGTAAGGCACATCGAGCTTCTCGAGACGGTACGCGGTTCTTTCGGAGACGAACTCTACTGCAACCCTTCCTAACGTCGAGCCATCCCAATCCCCTCTATTCGAAGTCATCGCTCACACGTGAGACGACCCAACTTAGCTGGTCCAAAACTGACCCCAAGGTATAGCTTTGCTCGTGTGGTGTAGTGAGAGGACACGTCAAGGAGGTTTTTTAGCCCGATGCTAATCACGTGATTATCACGTGCCCTTGTCCGTCAACCTCGAGACCCGAGGTCTTGGTACCACTCTGAGAGCTGAGAAACTCAATTTCAGTGGCTATCAAACTTCTTCTGTGAGCCCGTGGGAGCCAATGCACTCAACGCGGGGTAAGACAAGGATCCAGCCTTGGTCAGCAGCGGCCGATACCCACGGTATCCTCGAAATTCCATCAACCACAATATCGATCTAGCAAATAGAGCTAGAGAGGCGTTCTAGCGGATGACCAAGCACTGACTAGGGCTTCACAGTGCATGCAATAGTCCCCTGCAGTGCTTGATTATCGTGCTGCAGCTCGGGTCGGCCGAGTACATCCCAATTAGGCAATGCTAGAGCTGGCTGGTATATATGGTTTCGAAGCTTCCAACAAACGCCTTCAGACTCCTCACTCACTCGTGCTCCTCGAACAGACCTTCCCGCCGTCCTCAAAAGATTGCAACATGGCCCAGATCAAGGTCGGAGACTACCTCTTCAGGCGACTGCGTGAGCTAGGCATAGGCTCTGTCTTCGGAGTCCCTGGCGGTACCTACCCCTCTTCCATCCGCCTCCGTCACTTGTGGCTTACTCATATGCCTCATAGACTATGAACTTGCTCTCCTCGACCTCGTCACAGACAATGACCTCCAATGGAAAGGCAATCCTAACGAGCTCATCGCTTCGTACGCTGCGGATGGCTACGCTCGCGTCAACGGCGCAGCCGCCTTCGTTACGACATTCGGGCCTGGCGAGCTCTCGGCGTACTGCGGCATGGCCGGCCAGTACTGCGAGTTCGTTCCAGTGGTGCATATCGTCGGGTACCCGACCGTCGCGGCGCAGCGCAGCCAGGCGATCATGCATCATTCGCTCGGGGATGGGCGTTTTGAGTATGTGGTCTCCAAATTCCAAGTACCCAATACTAAGAGAAGACATGACCTGACGAGCGGACAGCATGTATGAGAACATGGCGAAGCACATCACCGCCGCTACGACTGTGATTACGAACCCGCCGACTGCGGCGGCTGAGATTGATAGGGTGTTGAATATGATGATGCGGGAATCGAGGCCGGTGTATGTTGGCCTTTCGGTGGATATCGCGTATGAGATGATCTCCAGCGCGCCGTTGGCCAGTCCGATCACGACGTCTCTGCTGCAGAATAATCCGGAGCTAGAGAGAAAGGTGATCGCTGAGATCTTATCGAAAATCGAGAGGGCAGCTGAGCCTATTATCATTGTTGACGGAGGTATGCCATCCATTCTACGTGTTTAGCGACTGGGGAAGTCAGGGTGCTGACAAGAACGCCTCGATAGGAGCTGTGCGACACCAAGTGCTTTCCGAAGTCAACGAGCTCGTCGAACTCACCTCATTCCCAACCTTCGTCACGGCGATGGGTAAGAGCGGTGTGAATGAGGAACTCCCGAACTTTGGTGGAGTCTACGGTGGAGCGGGAACGCATCCTGGTGTAAAAGAGGCCATTGAGAGCTCTGATGCGGTATTATGGATCGGGAACTTTCCGGTTTGTCTGCTGCCATATCAGCCCTATCAGCATCTGGCTAATGTCCTTGACCACAGTCTGACTTTAACACGGGCGAGTTTACGACCGACGTCAAAGAAGAGATCACTATAGACTTCCAGCGATTCTCGGTAAAAGTACTAGCCTTTATATCTTGCAATTCATTGCAGTTACTGATCCATCCGTAGGTTGGCGAAGTCAAGTACAACGTAGCTATGAAATATGTAAGCCTGCTGTTTGCGTTTGAGGTACTCCGCTAGCAACATGCTGAAAATGTCCAGGTACTTGGAAGCCTCATCAAAGAACTACGACAAAAGTCGGTTTCAAAGTCTCCGAGAAACGTCACATGGAATCCGTTCCCTGTCAAAACCTTCTCCGACAGTGTTGAGCTCAAGCAGGAATTTCTCTGGCCGGTAAGTCCCTCATTTCTCATCTTATAGAGCATTTGTAACTGCTTACATAAATCACAAGTCTTTGGGTTCATTCTTCCGCCCTGGCGACATCGTCATCGGCGAGACAGGCACTTCTGCCTTCGGTCTCTGCGATTCCAAACTTCCCAAAGGTGTCATGATGTTCAATCAAACCGTCTACGGCAGTATCGGCTACGCGACTGGATCGATTGTGGGAGTTGGCCAGTCGATCAAAGAGAGTGGCGGCAAATGGAAAAGACCAATCCTGGTCACCGGAGAGGGCAGCATGCATCTAACCGTCCAGGCCATCGCGGACATGCTGCGCTGGGATTTAAGGCCAATCATGTAGGATATCGCTGCCTGCTCAAAGGTCTACAGCCTCTAACGAGATCATTGTAGTTTTGTCTTGAATAACGGAGGTTATACTATCGAGCGCCTCATCCACGGCAAAGACGCCTCCTATAATGAGGTCGCAATCTACGATTACAGCGCTCTGGCCAAAGCGCTTGGTCCGGCGCATCCGGCGAAGTATCATGGACCCGTCAAGACATGTGGTGATCTGACCAAGCTCTTGAAAGAACCCGGATTCGGTGATGCTGGTTGCTTTGAGGTAGGTCCATTGTGATTGACGAGATGCGGGAATCCGGCTGATCATCTTGCAGCTTGTTGAGTTGGTTTTGGGCCGACTGGATGCACCGGGGTCAGTCATCAAGACTGGTGCGGCTATCGATGAGTTTAACAAGGCGAAGGTGCAGAAGACTGTGCCAGGCGGCTAAGAGAAAGATCCTGGTGCAACTTTTTGTTTCCAAGACTATCGTAGCTATTACCTTATATTCGACCATGAATATCTTGGTCCGTTCCCACAGAATAAAACCTCAATGACGGCCGATACCATTTGCCTCTGTGAAGCCGAGATCTGTGGTGCTAGGAGTGACAAGACCCACTTACGAGTCTTTAAAGGATTAGAATTTATTCTATGTTACCAAACATAGCGTCCCAGTCTTGCCAATTGACGTTGGGTGAGAAGGTATCGTTTGAACTCAATGGATCGTCAAACTCGGGCGAAACCTCAAGATCTTGAAGCTCAAGCCCCGGCCAATTCATTTGCGGCGTGATACCGCTCTCGACTTCGGATCGGAGCTGAATAAGTTGCATCTGCGCTAACTGCACAACTTGCGCTCGTGTAGGAAGTGTATCCGGATTCAAGCCTGCTTTGATCCATGCCCGCAATCGTAGCCGGGTGATGAGATTCCAGGCCTCCTGACCGCCATCTAGTAAAGCCCGCGGCACAATGTGGTCACCCTGTGCACCGCTGATGCCTCCGTCAGGGCCGCATAGGGAAATGGCCTGGTCAATGATGGAACGTGAACTTTGGGCGTTGACTCCGTCAGGGTCCCGTTCGACTTCTTTGAGGAGTAGGATAATAGCATGGAGCGGTTGGTGGTTTCCTGGCCATGACCAGTGCCATCTCTGAAACTCGTGACATGCGGCCAGACAGATGTACTTGAGGAGAAATGAACGACAATTGTGAATGACACTGGATACAAGTGAGCTTTCAATATGCCTTCTGGAGCCTGGTGCTTTCACCTACCGAGGAAGTAGATTGCTCCATGCGCGACTGATTGCTCGGTTCAGGACGGGAGAATGCATGTACCACCAGTATCGGTCTCCCATCGCCCATAATACGAGTTTTGCCCAGGCGTTCAGCTCGTTATTATTTTCATAAGCTTCCGTGGCTGTAGATATCGTAATGCGCTTAGCTGTCTTTAATATACGTTCCTGGAAGCGCTCGAGCTCTTGCTGTGTACTTTTCAAATCGTCTGAAGTCATAGGCTTCGGTCCAAACGTCTTGTTCAGGAGTTCCCGTGCAAACACTACCCGGGAATAATATCAGTATCCAAACTTGAACTTGCCAATATGATGCGTTCGCTCATCAAGATCGGTAAGCTGACTCACAAGTATCCTCGATTTTGCCACGAGCAAAGATGCTTGCTGGCGAGACCATCGAGTCGGGATCAAGCACCTTTTGAGGCTGACAGCTTCCTTCTCGCAGTTTCTCTTCGTATTGTAACGCAGCCACCGTTCCCAGTAGTTCATCGCGCACCTCACTCAACATCCTGACATCCCAGGAGTCCCGATCGATGAGCGGAGGAAGACCAGATGCCAATGCGACAAGCACATCAATGCGAAAGACATGCCACCAAACCCTCCGCCTTACCTCAGCAGCTGTTGTCGATAAAGATGCCTGGAACAAGGAAGGTTCTCTATTTAGTCCAAGCATTTGCGCCACCCGAACTATGACGCCGACAAAACTAGCGGTGCTTAGCGGTTCTTCCTCACGCATCGATGTGCTCTGAAGGACGATATAAGCAGAGAGCGTCTCGACAGTGGGTAGCCGCGGGAAATTCGAGATCCGAAGTGCTCGAAAAGCCATCCAATATAACTTTAGCATAGCTTCCTCACGTTCATAAGTAGCGCAGTGGAGATCCCAGTCAGACTGAGTGCAAATCACTGTTCCGGCCCAAAGCGCCGCCAATACAAGCGGTGTCGCTGCAGTCGCGTTCTTCTCACTGCTACCTGATTTCAGTTCCCAGTACCGTTCGTATTCGATGCGAAAAGAAGGCTCATGGACGAGTGGGACGATTGCATGATAATTCCAGACGTATGTTTCAAAGAGGAAGTCACAGCAGTGCTTGGCCGGAAGGTTCTGCGCTTCTGGAGAGGATTGCTTCTGGATAAATGCGCGTATAGAAGCAGCTGAGGCCGGAGGAGTCGCAAGCAAAACCCCGGTGAGTGAGCCGCTTCTCCACGGTTGATCGTCCATCTCGGTAAGCGACATTTGACGGTTTAGGCCTCTTAGAAGGAACTCGATCTCATTAGCTTCCTGGCATATGTTGGCCCAAAAGCTCTTGGAAACGTAGCGAGTCTGGCCGCTACCCTGGACATCAAATAAACCCTCGTCATCATCCAGGAATGGGGACGCACGTGATGTCTGGCGTGCTCGCTTTGGAGAAGTTACATGTCCTGAATCTTTAGGGTTTGCCGGGTCTAACTTGGGCGTATCTCGCAGCGAATGCACCATGGCGGTCAAGCTTTCCAGTTTTTCCTCTAAACTTTGAAGACGCTCAGAAGGTATAGCGACGTCTGCGGAAGATGTCCCTCGAGCATTTAGGACGGCTGGTCCGGGAAGATCCGCGGGTATAAACTGGAATTCTCGACCTTCTTCCGTTCCCTCTTCGTACACACAAGTAATTTCCGGAGTACTAGCGCATCGAGCACACGTCGGCCTTGCCTGGTCGCAGCGCACCTTTCTCCTTCTGCATTCTCGGCAGGTGTTGGATGATCGCGGATGGCTACGACCTCGTCCTGTCCCGCTCATATTGCAAGCGAGAGCGTCGGCGGCTCGTACCGCCCTTTGCGAGAAAGAAAGTATGCGGTAAGAAAAGCGATTATTACTCGATGACTATGGCGTTGTTCGGGGATGAGGATGTTTTGGTGTCCGAGGGCTCGCTGACCCGCCGCTGAGCCAGCTGCCTCGCTAGTGAGCCGCCCCTGCCAGCTGATCTGCAGGATATCCACGCCTAGCGCACGCCAACAGCCGTGGATATCTACTAATCTCCACGGGCACTGCTGAGCCTGCTGCTGAGTGCCCGTGTACCGTACTGCCTGTTGGCCGAACTGTTGTGGCTGTATCAAAACGCTGTACAATTCCTGCCCTTTGCAGTATAGCTGCTGAGCGGCTGCTTGCTCTCGTGCCCGCCACCACAATAGCTACTGCAGCAGCATCTGCCACTGCACAACGGCCTAGCTAGATGATGATGGCGTATATAGAGAGAGGAGAGGCCCTTCCTGTAAGTTGCCTGCTAGGCCTATAGAACCAGGACAGGAAGATATGCCGCCAAAAAAACACGACCGCAGCGCTGCAAGCGCGCGGATATTACCATCGCGAACAATACTGAACTACGCGCTAACGCGCAAGAGATTCTGGCCACTATACAGCAGCAACGGCCAGAGAATACGCACCAGGTGTATACTCCAAAGCAACAAGAATTTAAGGTATTTCTTGCCAGGGCCTAGCTAGCTAGCTAGCTAGCCAGCTGCTATACACGCGTTTCCTACACGCGTATATACACGCATTTGCTAACTATATTCCCTAGGAATTCTACACACAGAAGTAGTACTATAACAGTAATATAGTTATAGAGGATAAGCTACTACTATTTTTTATAAAAAATGTAGCTAATAAACCCCTAAAAGCTAAGTTATATAAAATGGGGAGGGATATTAGCACACCCCCTAATCACTCCGCGCACGCCCCCTTTTTCACTCCACGCACACCCCCCCCTCTTGGCGCTTCACCACCTTCTAATTGGCTCGGAGCAACGCGGAGCTTCCTCTGGGCATTCAGCTTTACATCTCTCTGCACGTGATACTATACGCGAGGCCGTACGTGAGCTCGTACGTGAGCTTGTACGTGAGCTCGTACGTGAGCTTGTACGTGAGCTCATATATAAGCTTGTACGTGAGCTCGTACGTAAGGCTATATAAGGCTATACGAATCGGCATAGCTATACAGCCTTTCCGTTCTACGGTGCATTCTTTCCAATTCGTGCAGCCGTATATACAGCCGTACGTGAGCTCATATGTAAGGCCACACGAATCGGAAAGAATGCACTGTAAAATAGAGAGGCTGTATAGTTATGCCGATTTGTATAGCCTCACGTATGAGCTCACGTACGGCTACGTGAATAAGAAAGGCTACACGTGCGAATGCACGTGAGAATAGAGCTCCGGGCGAAGCTCCGAGCCGCTCCAGCCAATCAGAAGATCAGACGAGAGGAGGGGTGTGCGTGGAATGAAGTGTGCGTGGAATGAAAAAGGGGGTGTGCGCGGAGTGATTAGGGGGTGTGCCAATATCCCTCCCCTAGTGTTTTCTCGATAACAGACAAGCAAGCTTGCGTCACCAGAAAAAGGATTTTACTCTGTCACAAAACCTAGGAACAGTAAATGCCTGCACCATCCTTAGAGGTTTTCTCTTCACCCCAGCTATTCTAGCCTTCCTGATTTCCCTGTAGTTGGGAGGCACAAGTATTGGTGGCTAAAAGCATATTATCCCAACAGTCTCTTCAGCCAGGCACACGTCCTTCACGGAAGTTGAATATCCATACACCAATTGCAAACTTCCTTCACCGTGGTCTTCGCCTTTTCCTCTGTATGTCCTATAATCCGCTCGGCATCGGACTCCCATGTGATCTCTGTAAAATAGGGGTCTTTCTCCGCAAATTCACCATCTTCGTCCAACTCAGTGACCAATTTCACTTCCACCATCTTGAAGCCAGTCCAACTACGATACATGTGCAATATGGCGTTGCCTTGAGCATCCGGCCCGTCGGCGTACACGAACCATTTATCCTCCATGGCAGTTGGCTGGAAGCCGTTGAGCAATTTGGGGAGGTCGGCTCGTGGAATTGACTGGTTCCATTTTGAGGTGATCGGCTTTTCAAATGGATGCGTTTCCCAGTTTGAGGCAGTAACACGTTCGGTCGCTGGTTTCCCTCTTTGGCCGAATTCTGACCAGTGTCGAATGGCATTGAACTCATCAGAGTTGAGGTTGCTCATGTTGAGTAAGGGTTGGCAGGTGCATTTTTCCAAAGAAAATGTTGGAAAAAAGTTGAGAATGTTGTTGGCTGATGCCTATTCAAAAGCTAGCGAGTTTGTTTCCCATATATATAGTCAGTCGAATGATCACGCGGCTGACACCCCACTTTGTGGCTGTGCTAATAGGGCACGGCTCAGCCCACAACGCACTAGCTGAGTCACGTGGATGCCGAGCTTTTGCCAATAAAAGGCTGGTTCTACCTAGGCATACTTTGTGGTAAGTAATATTAGTACCCCGCCACCTGCAGTAATTAACTCCTTACTATTACACCAACCTCAAGGCCCTTTCTATAGACTTAACTCGTTGTCTTCCGTCGACATTGGAGGCTAATCCGTCTAGGAACATGCCTATCTGTAAATTTTGCAAGGATCTTGATCTTTTTCAATTGACTCTTTCTCTCCCTAACCTGAATGCTGGTTCAAGAAATGGTTGCGCCGCTTGTAGCCTACTGCTAGCTGGTATTAAGCGCTTCATTAAGGTTAATAGTATCTCCACGATCTAAATTTATGTCGATCTTGCTCTCTATGCCAAGATTCATACAAACGGCTCTAACGTAGTCGGCGGGGCGAGTGGGCCACCTCATCAAATCGCGATCACAAAATCAGGAATTACTCGACAACGAACAATTGTATTGTATATAGCTATCTACTAGCTAGTTGCCTGCCGTCTAGGGCACGTACGTGCATTGTGTTCTAGTGAACTGCACATGCTGCACTTAGGTGGTGCTCGTTGCCGTGGGCCGCTGCCTCTGCTACCACCTCTGCTGCCACCTCCTGGGCAGTAGATGCACGAGAGGCCCCTTCTGCGGCTGATAGCACCCCTCCCCTAGCTATATACGTGCGCTTCTGTGCCTTCTTCCTTTTCTAGCGCTGGTTTTCCATCTGTAGCCTCTCAACTTCGTTGGCAAGTAGGGTAACCTTTAATATCGCCATTTCGTACCCCTTAGCAAGCTGGCCAAGGGCTCGTTCTGTTGGACTTGGTGGGCTATGCGTACGACGCTTGAGATAGCTCCTTACGAAGGCCGTCTGCTGCTGTAGCTCATGGATATTGTGTGGTGTTTCGGCTGCCCAAGGTGCATTTGATGGTGGACGGGCCGGTGGCGGTGGTGTCTGATATTCGGCATGCAGCTGTGCCAGCACATGATCTGGATTGTATGGAACCAAACCAATGGCTGCAAAACCTGCCTGTATATTGGATTCATGCAGAGCTGTTTGCCTGGCCTGCCTGTACAACGGTAGGAATTCGTGTTTATCAATGTGATTGACGCTGCTGGCTATTATCTGTTCAACGCCGCATCCGTAGGCCTGCTTCAGCGCCGAGAAACAGCCTACATCTAGGGGCTGGAGTAGATGCGATGAATGCGCAGGCATACAGAGGACGACTATCTGATGATCCAGGCAGATCTGATCGAATTCGGGATTGACGTGGCTGCCGTGACCATCTAGCACTAGCAGCCGATGCGTGCCAACAGTGCGATCCTTTGTATACTTCAGATCAGCATTACATTCCCGAAGCGCAGAGCAACAATGCCAGTCACATCCAAGCTCGTCACGGCAGCGCCCTCAAACGCTCGTGCCGCAACCACTTCTCCGAGTAGCCCAAGCCAACCGCTTTCTCGCCATGGGGAATCAGAGCAGCTTGCTGCCTTTGAATTGGTTGCACTCTTCAAGGATATGCTGAAGATATCACAAGCGGCGCAGGAAGTACCGCCTCCTTCTGAGGTTCAAGTGATTGAAGAGAAAAAGCAACCTAGAACCAGAGCTTCCAAGGTTGAGTTCAAGCTAGTGAATGAGATGTATGCCCCCAAAACTGAAATAAAATGTGTACAAGCTAACAAAGTCCCTTGTACAGCTGGGACACTTGAAAGGAATGAGCTTAACGTCTTTCAGAGGATTGGGAATATTCATTTTGGAAATAGAGAGATGGGCGTTCAGCTTATTATCTGAAGTTAATAGACTCCTAAGATGTCCTCAGCAGCCTGTAAGACTTGATGGGAAAAGGAAATCGAGATGGACGGACTAAGGACATTAATCTGAGGACGAGATTTGGAGAGTTTACGCGAATGTGATGATTGCAACATTCCATTACGTCAAAGCCGGCTCGCGAGATTAGAAGGACTGTGCTTTTAGAAGAATATTCTGCAAACACTGGCAATAGCAACAAGACCGACAGGGCCCTTAGTCCTGATTGAATGGCCAAAGCCAGTCGCAATTGGTAGGCTTGGGACGGTCGGGCTCATTGCAAGGACTAGTGGTATTTCGATATTGTGACAGGAACACACGACTGGCTTCGGGTATATCTTGAGGAGTTTCAGACATGTTGATCTTTGACTACGAGTACCACAAGTCCCGGCGATCGAGCCGACACAGACAATAAGAGAAGATGCCATAAAGGCATCACTCTCGTCGCTTGAAGCTTTGGAGCGTTGATTCTCGCGCTCACCTCTTTCTGCTTCGCTTTCAGCTCGGCCACGCCGCTTTCCGCTGCCTCTGTACAAACCCTCTACGAGCTTCCCGAGCGTCACCTTCTTGGCACCAGCTAAGACGGATTTGGGAAGGGGTGAAATGAAATGCAAGCCCGTTCGATGCTGTTCGCGGCCCATAGCCTATCTTCAATGTCGCTCTTATCACCATGCTTCCATCGTAGTCGTTCTTCCAGGGCGGGGCCGATGTCGTGGATGGGAGGCATACGATCGAATATTGACTTTTCAAGGTCGAGACGCGAGACAACATTATTGGATAAGGTGGTTGTTCTATCGGAGGCATCGTGGGCGGGTTCGTCACTTGGCCTGGCATTCGTTAGACGGCGATGGACCGAGATGATGACGGAAAGGAACCTACCCGACTATCTTTGCCTACACTTCTTGCTCTGCGTGTTCTATTTGCGCATTTTCGAAGGCGCTCTGATCCTTCCTTAACTCATTGTGAGCCTGTTCCAGGACGCGGAGTTTCTGTAACAATACCTCTACCGTCTGCCTCAGCGCGAAGCCCTCTTTCGAAAGTGCTGCAAGACCCTACAGGTAGTGGTTGTGGTCCCTGATAGGCTATTACAACTCGTCCTTGAGGATATTGCCTTAGTGAAATTGATTCCTCCCTGGCTGGCATCTTGATTGAATGTGGGAGTAGCGGCGGCTGAGACGGATCCTGCGCGTCAAAACGTGCGTACGAGACGTTCCGTCTGGTGCTGTATGCCATTGGCATTTCATCGAGTTAATTAACATTAGCATGGAGAGCTGGGAATAAGTCCCAGTTGATGCGGCGCAGTTGTGTTGCCTCGCTGAAGCTACGCAGGCAGAGGCCGCCGCGACTGACACATCACGTGATATGGACATGGTATGGTTCTGCCGACAGATGAGAGTGCTGCCTCAATTAACTATCTGTCATCATACTTCTCATATTTCAACCCCAAAGACGTGGGATTTCTCCCATGAGACTCATAAAATACGTACGTAAAGTTCCCTTTCATGAGCTAGACACGTGCTGTCTTCTGATCCACTTCAGCTTATTTATCATCACGACGCCGCCATCAAGTCCCCGACGTGCACTCCTCGTCAATTTTGCATCTTCTGGAATCCAGAACCATCAACCGGACTGCCTTTGCTGCTACTTGAATCAATCGAAATGCTGGGGAGGCCCTTTTTCTTGCTGGAAGCAAGAACATCCAAATCTAGATACCAACATCTGCGAACCCAGCATGGACAACGCTTTGTAAAGCGCTGGCATAGCTTCCGAAGCCGGGATCTCGAGATTTCAATGCCCAGCTTCCCTGCTGCCTCTGATTACCACTACTGTGACGAGAATGGACCACAAAAAGCTGCCAAATGAACTCCTTGCCGAAATTTTCTCCTACACACACGACTCTCCAACTTTAAAGAACATTGCGGCTTCTTCGCGCATATTCCGGGCCCTCGCAACGCCAATTCTGTATTCTTACTTCTCGGGCCACACCAGCCAGAAGAACAATGCGCCAAGGAAGTTGTTCCAATTCGTCCGGTCCATCGTGAACAACCCGCCCCTTGTACAACATGTGAAGCATGTTGACTTGGTAGTCGGACCGTGCGAGCATTATGATTGCCAGTCAGACGGTGGCATGCCTTCTTCCAACCTGGGGCCGAAATTTATGATGTCCTCCTCCTTCGTAAAATACACTCCCTATATTTCACTCCAGATTACCCTCTCCTACGTATACAGCACGCAGACCCAGAGCCTAGCGCACTAGGATCAACACAGCGGTTAGCTAGGACCCTATACGGCCCTCTAACAGCAGCTTACGAAGTAATTTTCCACTAGCTAAGACACGAGGTGTTCCGCTTGGGGTCATGCTTCTATGCCTTCTGTCGAACCTCGAGGATCTGTGTGTCTCTCTTTTCGATCATTCCGAATTCTCAGCCACATTATTCTGCCTCCCGTCTCAACGCGTGGCTTCCCTCGCCAACGTTCGGAAAATACGATGGGAAAGCCGGAGCGATGACTTTCAAGACGTGCCCACCGCGACACTTTTTCAATGGCTATGTCTTCCATCTCTGGACAGCTATTCAGCCCTTGGTGTCGACTTCATTGGTGGTCATTTTCCATGGGATCAAACTTTCACGCTTACGTCACTTGAACTCATCGGCGCCCGCATTGTTGACATTTATTTTGAGTACTTCGACGCAGTGCTAGAAAGATGTACGATGCTGAAAGCATTCGCCTTTGTTGCTGGCCCTCGACTGCAATACCATGGCTTTGTAAGTCCTGGAAACATCATCAAACTCCTGAGTACGCTCGTCAGCGGTACTTTGGAACGCCTAAGGCTCGAATTCGGCATGGCATCAGAATACTATGCCTACACAGACCTCATCAACTCATCTGCAGACAATCTGACTCGGTTAGAGCACCTCAAAGTTTTGAGCATTGATGTACAGCCCGTTCTTGGCTCGGATGCGCATGGTGCGTCTGTGGACATCGAGAAAGTCTTCCCACGAAATATTTCCGACCTCTCACTCTACTTGTGCGGATTGAGTACACAGCAAGAAATCGATGACCTGACATATTCAGGCATTCGGCAAATTTGCCCGGACTTGAAGGTCCTGAGAATCGACATGGTCAAGATACTTCTTCATCCCTGCGTACTTAGAGTCTCCGGAGGGGACTTCCGTTCAATCGGTTTAGATTTCCAGTACGATCTCACAGAGAGATACCGGGGAGAGGGAGATGATGAAGGACATGTGCTCTATCAGAAGTTAGACTCATAGCTCATAGCATCATCTCTTCGAGATCCACGCCGTACCTGCAGAATCTTCTACGCAGTTTTCAAGCAATCGATATTTTCTTCAATACAGCTATCATGGCAACGGCCGCGACAGGCCAATCAACTACCTCCTACCCCAGAATCAACGCGTCTACCTACGACCCACCCTAGTATATAGCTTGCTATAGCAATGATATAAATCGAAAACAACAGGCTATTCACCACAAGGCGACGATCTCGATACGAGAATGAGCGGCTTTGCAATTGTAATGTAAAGTCTAGCAATTCCAAGGGGAAAGCCCCGGACTCTAGGAGGGAGAGCACGACCTGGGCAGTCTAACGGTCGAAGAGGTCTAGGCCGACATCGATTCAAACATCAAGAGCAGAGAGCGAAAGCGATGCCGCGGAAGAATTTTGAAGTTGAGCTGGCCGACGCGGATCACAAACCACGTGATTCAATGGTTACGACGCAACAGATAGAAAATGCCACGCTTGCACATCTATATAATGCTCCTAGGTGCTGCAATACTCTGAACTATAGTGGGTTCATTGGAGAGCATTGGGTGTATCCCGGCGTCAATGGCCGTCTTTCCTCGCTGGTTGATACTTACCGCTTAGGGGCTTGCTCAAGAAGATCAAGCATATCGGCGTCTTCTACGGCAACGCAGGCAGAAAGGATGGCATCATGCCAGGCAGCACATCTGACGACATGGTCCATCTTCTGTCCGAGCTCGAGGATCTGGCAACGTTCACCGTGGAGTTCACCGGAAATGTCAAGGAACTCGAGCGTTGCCATAATGGGAAGATGTCGCTGGTGTTCTTTGGCGACTTGCTCGTGCAGTTCGAGATGGACGAGAAGGACGCGGACGCAGATTTCACGTGGAGGCGACCAAGAGTCGTGATCTGCAAGTCGGCACAAGACTAACACTTTGTCAATGCACATCCTGGTCGGATTTGTTACAAGTGATGAAGATACTTCTGGTCTCAGTGAGGTGGGTCTCGGTGAGGTGGGAGTCGTGTACTCTTCTATCGAGCAGGCTGTTCTAGTGCCGTTTAAAGGCAAGTTTTGATTCGAAATGACGGGAACTGTCTTGAAGTCCAGTCTTGTCAGGGTATCCAACTAGGCCCCGAAACGCTTTGGGTGAAGATGTGTTCTTCGTGGTCGAGCTAGACTACAGCTTGATGCCACCATAGGACGGCAGTCATAATTTCGCTAGTAACTAAGTTTATTCAATTCGCCTGTGAACACAGATAGTAAGAGAAGGGTGGATGTAAGGAGGCCGACGTCCTCCTACTGTACCTGTCCAGACTGCCCTTTTGGCCGTCCACTACTCCGCGCCAGTGCTTTCCCTTCCCAAGGCACTTTAGGCCCATACATCACCGATGAAAGAAGCGCCAAGTACAGGTTAGTTGCTTAGCTTACAGATTAGCTTAAGTAATTACTGTGGACGCTAAATTGCGAAGGAAGATATTAATAGTCCACAAGTTTAGCCACAGGGAAATCACAGGGTTTGAATTGTGCTCTTGCTCGCTCGACACCACCGTCAGGGGCGGTCTAGTTGCCAGGTAGCCAATGAGTCAAAAGGCAGGTCAGTTCTCATGCTGCCAAATGCCCTCGGCGGTGCCCTTACATCAGACAATCGTAGCAACATCCCTTTGCTCTGAGAGCTTCAAGGTAGCGTTTGAAATTTCTTCTTCAAGGACACACACAAAGTGGGAAGCTCGATGAAAAAAGAGGATCCAGCAAGCATGAAAGCCTGAGGCGTTGTGGGTCGGACAACGTTAACCATAAAATTTGAAAGAAAATCGCGATCTCTCACCAGAGATATGGCGCATGCACCATATTATAGCTCAGACGATCATAGGCCTAGCTTTGTGATCAGAGTATGATTTAGAAATTCCACTATCCACCACAGAGTCCCCGAAACGCTGGACACAGAAACTTGGAATTTGCCGTGAGCAACGAGGGAGTGCCGGCAGACCAATCAAATCGGACGACTCAGCTTTCCCCATAAAGAGATGGGCAAATCAACCAAGTGGCAGACCTAGAAAGTTGCATGAAGAGACGAACCGAGCGCAACGCTCGGTGTCTGTGTATAAGCAGCAAGAGGGATTGCTGGCATAGCAGACGATGCTACTCTAGGTTTCGAGGCTCCTGGATACCATATCGCTCGCGAACGGGTTTCGACACGTCACTCGTACTACCCCCGCCGTCCCTCACTTCCTACCCAAGGCTACTTTCCCGCAATATGTCACCATTGCTTTGGTCAAACTTGAAAGCTTGTCGCAGTACCCTCGGAGTTGCGCCAGGTGAAAGGCGCCCAGAATGCGTGACCGGCGCGATGGAGTACTCTGCCTGCCGCTCGAGTTCGGTGTTCGAGTGCATTCTGGGGACAGTGGTGCACTAATCCTCCCAAGTCGGGAGCGTTCATGCATTGGCCAAAACCCATATTCGAATGTGTGAGTCGGACATATTTCCCGTGTCTTGTTTGAAGCTGACAGGCGGAGAAGCTCGTATCGTGGGTAGGTATCTCGACCGATCCGAAGTTCGCGGCGGGCATCTGTCGTGAAGTTCAGCGTGGGCGCGCGCCGTTGCGTTGCGGATGAAGAAGAGAAGATGAAGCGAGGAGCACGCAGTTGATGATGCCGTAGCAGAAGCGATTGGCGCTAGTGCTTAAGTGGATTACACGTGATAGACCCAGTGAATTGAATCTCCAAGCCGGCCCTAGTTCACTCTCACCTTCGACTTCATTATAAGCCCTCCTCTGAAGCTGGTTGAACCTCCAAGGGTCGTTCAAGGACTATCGTTTCCCTACCGCCAGCCAGAAGTTGCCCTCGGGCGCTCACATAGCGGTCACTCGTCGACACCAGCCAAGCCTCGCCAGTCAAACGACGAGTCCAACCTGCTAAATCCGCTGCTCCAACCTCAACAACTTCACTCGACTACCTCATGCATCATCTCTATATCTCACCTCGCCACAGCCTTGAATTATTCTCAAGATGCTGAATTCGAAGGCCACCGACCAGGGACCAACCTCAACAGCTCCCCACGATGGTGCCACCGCGCCATCCCCGGAAGCAGAAGTGAGCTACACTACCGACCAACACTCCCCCAGCTCCGATTCCTCCTTCCCCCAGTTCCCTCGTCTTCCAAAGGAACTACGCCTTAGCATCTGGCGCATGGCAACGACATCGCACGAGCTGTCGACACCCCCCCGCTGGATAACCCTCACCCACCATACCGAGATGGACCCGACCTCGAGGCTGACGGAGCCCGTCCGTCCGGCGGCTATCACCGTATCCCCATGGGATCCCAGCACGCTGAATGCCAGCTACGAAGCGCGAGGCGAAACACTGAAGCTACTCCGCCGCAAATCGCAGATCCTATCCCTCCATATAGCCGGCAACGTACCGCCGCTGGAAGTCCCGTTTGACTACGAGAAGGACGTCTTGTACCTGGCTGGCGAGGGGGCTACGCGTCGAGCAGATGCAGCTCAGATCATGAAGTTCTGGTCAACATCATCTGTCATCCCAAAAGAACAGCGAGAGCGGGTCCGCCATCTGGCGGTCGGATACGCAGACAATGCGGGCTTAACGGAGCAGGCAAGAAGAAATGAATTCTGCAACGGCCTGGCAGAGTTCACGGGTCTGGAATCGCTGACTATTGTTACGAACGGCCGCTGGCAGGGTATCCGAAAGTGGATCTACAGTTTCGAAAACACGCATGGCGCATGTCCCGGGGTGCTTTTCCGAAGCATCCTCGCTGAGGTGCAGCGGACTCTCCCAAATTTCCCATGGTTCGCAAACTTCAGCTACGTGGAGGACCACAGGGGTTTTCCGAGTGAAGATGAGTCGGATGGAGAGTCTACAGATTACGGTGAAGAGGATGATTTCTACGACGATGGCTATTGAGATAATTCGGATGGTTCGGAAGCTAAATAGGGGTAGGCCGTTGGAAAATCATACTGATCGGACTTGCTTCGTCGAGGTTGCGTTACGGATCCAAGGTCGGGTAGGGGATATCAAAACATAAGCTTACAGTCCGGCCACTCTTTGCAATTGCTTGGGACGCCCCGTTACGCTTTGAACTCCAAATGCGACGTAAAGATCAACACAGTGAATATGCCCTTTTGACTAATTGGAGACATGTTAGCTAAGACGCTCCTTACACTGGTGTTGAGAGAGCAAGAGTGGAGCTGGACTAGTGTTATATCCGTGTGCTCAGATTTATGACATAGTACTTGTACTTCTTGAATGGATCGGGAGAGTCTCGAAGCTATAAGCATGAATGAGCCAGCACAGACTCAAGCATCCTTCGAATATGTTATCCAACCAAATAGAAGCGCAGTGGTGTATATATGCATTTCTCGCGATGTCCAGCCAAATTATGCTCTTCATTCGCAGTACCTATTCCCAAGGCTCAATGCCAGGCTGAGTAAATCGCAACACCGTAGTGATAAATCGGTCTTTAGACAGCCTTCAAAGTCATCTGCCCGAGCACACAAGCATGATTTAACGTAATGCTTACAGTCAAGATTTCCCCAGAACGTCATCGGTGCTCTACTAGGTAGATGGCATTCACCCACGCATTATTTGTCGAGGAAATTTGCGGCGTGGTCTTTCCGACTGCCTCTATAAATCTCTCGCCGGGAAGGTAACCGCACGAAGCTTCTCCGTCAATCAGCACATACTAACGTGGCCATTCGCAGCCTGCCTCGACTGCTGTTCAGTAAGTTCCTTCCACTATATAGCAGAAAGGTAGCTCACATGGAGGCTCCTAGATACGGTCACTCCACCTCCGAAATCCCAGATTTCTTTCCATCCAACCCAATCTACAGTGCCGCATCACTGCAACGATGCCGAGCTGGAAGAGGAAGAAGTACCGCCGGAACAAGAAGCTCCGGGCTCGGGCTGCCGATACACAGCCCTCCGGTTCAGAAGTGGAGAAGCATGTTTCTCCGGGGCATCCTCCCAGTCCTCCACCAGCACTCCCAAACTTCCAAGTCCTGCCAACCGAGCTGCGCTTCGACATCTGGTGCCGTGTAGCCTCGCCTCCGAAGTGGCAACCCATTCGCCGCTGGATAGCTCTCACTTACCACGTTGAGTACGAAACGCACGACTCGGTCAAAGTTACCCGTCCTGAGACCATCACCGTGAGGCCTGGCCAACCAGACAATCTCTTCGTCAACACGGAAGCGCGCGATGAGACTGAGAGGTTCTTCAGAGATGAGAAGCGTCTCCTCACCGTGGCAATGTCAGACAAAGATCCTCCGAGACAGATTCACTTCAACTACGACTGCGATATCCTATACCTCCCCGGCGAGAACGCCGTAGCTACATCGAACGCCGCAGAGACCATGGCCTTTTGGAGTACCTCCTTCGCTATTCCCGTCGAGCAGCGTGACCGCATCCGCCACCTAGCTATTGGATACTTCAACGAAAAGAGCCTAAGCGTCCAGCATGCTAGACTAGCGTTCTGCGAGGGGCTGCGGAAACTCGGGCACTTGAAATCATTGAGAATGGTCATGAAGAAGATTGCTAGAGGCCCCATGCCGACGGTGTTCGAGCGGGAGCACGGAGGTCAGCCTGAGCTGTTCTTTCGTAGGATGGTCGAGGACTTCCGGCAGAAACATCAAGAGTTCTCTAAAGTGAGGGTTATGGTATGCCATGAGGGCAGTCAGGGGCGGACTGGCCAGGGAGCTCGGCGAAGGACAATTCTTGATCGAGAGTCCGAGGATGAGGTAGGTGGAGATTGAGGGCCCATGAGAGAGGGTTAGGATGGGTATTATACAGATAGCATGTTATGCGTATGATGGTTACTTCAACTACCGAGACTCTTAGACCACAGATCTCACACCACTTTGGGGGTTTCCGTATGCTGCATGTATCCTAATCCAAGCTATTAGGCTTGAACAATACTTCTGCCTAGCTGACATAGGCAGTCCTGAGCCTCGTTCGGATGTAGATACGGAATCAACTACTTCGGAGTTAAGACCCCAATATTTCAGGTGACCAAAGATTTCATTGTCACAGAAAATGCGGAGATGCTCTAACGTGACGGTTCACAGCCAGTAAGTCTAAAGTGTGATGAGAGTCATGATAGTGCAATGATCGACGCGATGAAGAAGGTAAAGTGGGGACTGAGGTAGGAGCTTCGAAGGTAACGATCACCATCATATGAATTTGAAGATCTTCAGCAAATGTCTAGCGAGGCAGAGATGATCGAGGAACAGAGACAGTGATAACTGAAATGTGTGTGCTTAGGTGCAAATCAGAATCAAAGAGATGAGAGCTAGAAGATTGAAAGTACACAGAGAAGTTGAAAGCATAGGACAAGTTCTTCTTCAAGTTCCCACGACAAGGCGAGAGGCTCAATGAAAAGAGGGAGGATCCAACGAGCATGCAAGCCCGTGGCGCTGAGACAGCGTTAACCAAATCAGCAATCAACAACACACAATCGGACACTTCCACTACCGCCTTGGAGCATCTTCTCGAAATCGGATGCTAGCAGAACAGAGCTGGAGGGCACTGTACTGGGTATGAGGCTCCTGGACGTTGTACAGCCGGTGAAGTTCCAATGCATCGGCGGGACCGATGTGGACACTCAAGCGATCTTTCCACTAGAGACCGACTTCAGGCCGCCAGAGCCCCTCCGTAATGGAGAACTGGCTAAGCCCTCCGTTCCCGGTTGGCGTACAACACCCACTGCTTCAACTCACTGTCGACAAATGAGCGCAGTACCCTCGGAGTTGCGAAGCCAGAGCTCCCCTGCTGGAGGGATATGGGTAGCGCCATGGAACATGGAGCTAAGTACCCACAGGTTTGGGACTGTTCTGCCGATACTCCCCCACCCCATGTTCCATTAGTAGTGGTGCATGACTGCGTGCCTCTCATCCAAGTGGCGCATGCATATGGCCGAAGCCCATGTCCGACGATGTGAGTTGGATAAAAAAGGGGTTTGCAAGTCTTGTTTGAAGCTGACTTGCAGAGAAGCTCGTAAAATATTTAGGTATTGCGACCATGAGTGATGTACAGGCACCGGGCATCTATCAAAGACAGCGTTGGCTCGCGATGTCGTGTTGCGCATGGAAAAAGAAAAGGTGGTTCTGTGGGAGAGGGAGGTTAAATACCCTACGAGAGATCCAAAAAAGCGCTGATTCAGCAAGCATGTGGTGGGCACGTGCAGCGATCTACCTCTAGTAGTGAGTACGAGAACAGGATAGATTCGAATCACGTGATAACATTCCTCAGCCCGTGATGCCTCGTCGATCTTTTGCGCGCTGGAAGCGCGAGATTATTTAGGACCTAAGTCACGTGCATACGAAGTACAGGTAGGCACGGAGAGAGTGGCCAGAAAGCAATGGAAGAAATCCAGACCACTTGCTTACCAGCGTATCATTTGGATCATACCCAAAATGGTCCATTGATGCGGTACGCGTGGTATCAATATCTCGCACTGCTACTTCGCTTTTTCAAGCCACTCCAGAATTCTCAGTGACGCCACGCGAGGCACTCCCTTATATCTCTCACCATCATAAGTCTCATCAATAGCCTTTGCAAGCCGCTGCGCCTTCGCAATGACGACCCTCTTCGCCTTAGCCCAATGCTCCCTCTCGATGAAGGCATCCGCCTCGCCCTCCAGCTCTCGCCGCTTGTTCCGCACGGCGGGATCGTCAGCCTTTTCCGCAACGCACAGGGCGCAGTCACATTCGAAACCCCAGGTAGTCATCAAGTTCGACTGCCTTGCATCATAGTCGCTCGACCAATCGTAGCTGATGAAGATCTCTTCGCCGGCGGGGATAGGTCGAGTGGCGCGAAGAACTATCAGGTCGCCGATGAACTCCTTCTCCGCATTGGCGGCAATGCAAGAGTGGTTGGCGTAAGCGGTCCAAATCCAGATACCGGTACTCGCGTTGCTAGCGTCTTCCTCGCCATACTGGCTACCCAGGCCAAAGCCGTTGCGGGAGACAATGTCGTGGACTCGCAAGGTATCGATGACTGGGCCATCTTCAGTCATCGATACATTTTTGCCGTCGCCTTGGTACTCGCCGCGAAGATCCATGAACTTTTCGATCTGGGAGGGATTGCTGAGAAGCTTTTGTATGACCGCCAAGCCTAATCCGACAGGTGACACTCTGATCCGCTCGTCTCGTACGTCGTAGGTCATGGCCGTCAGAGTGTTGCCTTCATGACCGTAGACCACACAGAAAGCCTTTTCGCACATGATGACCTCCCCGGTAGCTAGTCCACGAGCTGCAAACAGGCCACGCCCTCGTCCTGGACTCTCTTTCACCGTGGTATTGCTGGTGAAAGTTGCTGCATCAACCCGCGGACGCGCTCGAGACAGGTTGGCTCTGAGCTTCTTGAAATCATATCTTCCTGTCTCTTGCTCGCGGAGCCGCATCTCGATTTTTCGGAGATAGGCCCTTGCGTCTCTGTCACTAGGCGTGAGCTTCTGTTGCTCACCAAAGAAACTTTTCGCCTCTTCATATTCGCCGAGATTGTAAGCAGCACAGCCGGCACGGAAATAAGCCTTGGTGTCGAGATCTTTGGATCGCTGGTCGTCTCTGCCAGTGAGAGAGGCTTTCGCATCAGTCTTTGCTTCGTCTAGTTGACTCAGAAGGAGGTTAACGTGAGCGCGATTGCGAGAAATGTCCCGAGTTAGGTCGGGATTACTGTTAGATAGAACTTCTTGCCGAGCAACTTTCAGACCTTCAGTGTATTTGGCGTGAGCTAGCGGTAGATCCTGTTGTTTGAGCGCGGCATTGCCCTTGTCTTTGCATGTTCTCGCGATCTTCTCTACTGCAGCTGCGTCCTCAGCCTGGCTAATTACTTCATTGCCCAAGATTAGACTCCCGTTATCCACCTCATCCCTACAGATGATGAGATCGGAAGGATGGTCGATCCGAAGTGTAGGCTCGCCTTGATTTGTGAGAGTGAAATAAGGTTCCTTAATGATATAAAGAGAGGCGGACTCCAGGACGTCTTCGCCGTGTCTTGACTTGTGCAGGCACATCTCTAAGCGCTCTGTCTCGTGTTCCGCTTCGTCCTGCACCATGGTCCACGACCTTGCCGCAAGGATGACTACTGGACAGCGGCGCGGACGTTTCACAGTAAGGCGACGGCCACAATGATGAGTATCCATTTGAAGATCGGCCAGTTTCATAGGCTGTAAATCCTGGAGCGGGATGATGCATGGTGGATAGGGCTGCCCGACGCCAAGCGCTGGTAATGTCTGTCCTTTACCTACTGGCTGGGTCAGGTCGGGGTCCGCTGCGCCGCCCATATCTAACATGAGAGACGCGCCAGTAGCTTGCTGGATAGCTGATATCGAGTCCCTCGGTTCCCGCGCACTGCCAGCAAGTTCGGAACATTTCTTCAACCTGGCTTTAACCGTATTCTGGATGCGATCCGCCTCTTTCTCTGTCAAGAATATCGTATTTCCGTCGTTCTGAGGTGCCATTGTAAGCTATGGAAACTCACGGCAAGCGCAAGCGCACAATCATGTGGTGTTGAAGAGACTGCGTGAGTCAAAGCAAAGGAAAAAAGACGAGGGTGCCAAGACTAGCCTACCCAGAATTGGAAATGTCACCCTGACGCCAGCTTACCTATATCCAACAAGCTGCGCACATATACTTCGCTCAAAAGGCGACCGGTAAGATCAAGATAAAAAAAGCTAGTGTGAGTGTGTGCGAAAAGCATTTGCTAGCTATAGAAGACTATGCTGAGGTCTGTAGCACAAGTCATGTGACTATCGACTTCATGTCACATGACTCAATACTAAAAGGGATTAGCATAGCGAACAGCCGATTGGATGGACATGCTCGACCCCAGAGCATTCTTTTCGGGATTTATCTATGTAGGTGTGGTATCACGAATGTGTGCACCCGAACTCCATCTAGTACAGGTGTATAAATTCATCAGTGTGGCTAGACTTGTTGTACCTCGTATCTTTATTACGGTCTATCGGAAGTATACCAGAATAGCACGATAGGCCTTGTCCTGATGATCGTAATCGTCCTTCATACTATTCCTCCACACTTCGCCTCCACGCTCTCTCTTCATTCATGCTCTTGGTTGAAGTTACCTGAGCAATGTCCATTGCCATGACCCTTCATCCCGTCTCCGGCATCTTATTGTTCTTCCTAGTATCAACCCATCCCATCCCCGGTGCACAGAGCAAACCCCCAAGGCAGCAAGCAATGAGCATATAGAAGACCTTATCCACACTGTTCGCAAACGCCAGCAACACGCCGCCTAACTCAGGGCTTCCCTTTGGGACAAGGGCGCGCACGGCGCTGGGGCTCGCTCCGGCAGCGAGAGCGGCCTTTGGTGAGACCGAAGGCGCGTGCGCCCTGATTTCCGAAGCTAGACTCTGCGTGAAGATCACGTTGGCAACCTCGATGAAAACGGCGCCCGCGAAGTTCTGGCAGAAGATCAGGAAGGCAAGGGCGACGGGTAGCTTCTGCGGTGGCAGCGCGTTCTGGACTGCGATGAGGCCCTATAGCCAGGTGTTAGATTCGGTCCAGATGAGGAGATTGGCGAATTTGACTTCACCGTCTGCATCCCGATCCCTCGACCGCCTCCTAGGACGATCTGGTACCCTATCCACATACCAGTCTTGGTCGAAGGCGAAAACATCGACACAAGGCCATTTCCGACTGCGCTGATTGCACTCCCGACCGCAGCGAACGGGAGATAAAATCCAACTTTCTGAATGAGAAAACCGGACAGTATCACCGTCGCCATCTGACTGAGAATACTTGGTAGCGTATTCACTCCGCTCATTGCTGGCTTATATCCGAGGACGCCCTGGAAATAGATCGGTATGTATTGGCCAGCCACGAGTAGTGACACTACTAGCGCCGCTCCATTTAGCGCGCTGCACCAGACAATACGTTGCTTGACGATCGAAAAGGGTATCATAGCTCGATCGCCAGTGTGCCTTTCCCAGCATAAGAAGATGATAGCGGTTGCTGCAGCGCCACAGAACAAGCCTATGACCGTGCTACTATTCCATGCGTAATTGGTTGCGCCGAGCTGAAGGGCTAGGAGGAACATGATGGCGGCGGGTGCAAAGAGGGCGAATCCGGGGAGGTCAAGCTCGGGGATTGTTTCGCGCACGACAGAGAGTGTGAACGGTTTTTTGGAGGTCAGTTCAGGAACCTTTACGAGGGTGAGGAAGATGCAAGCTACAGCGCCGATGGGAAGATTGATGTAGAAGCCTACGATATGTGAGCGTTGTGGTTTCAGCCTCGATTGAAAGTTGCACCTACACCATCGCCATGATGCGTACTCAGTGAGAAGACCCCCTACCAGCGGTCCACATACAGTGCCAACTTGGATGGCTACCGCTACGTTAGCAAGATCATTCCAGTCCGAGAACAAGGATTGGGAAACTTACTTCCGAGATATATGCCAGTGTAGACTACATGTCCCCGTTACTCGTCAAAGTGATGCAATAGAAGATCATAACCGTTACATGGACTCACGAGGTCGTTTAGCCAACGGCACAGCACCCGCAATTATCGTCATGCCCCCGTTCAAGAGCCCCGAGCCTCCCAGACCAGCAATCGCCCTTCCGCCGATGAGCATGGATGAGGAGCTCGCGAGTCCACAAACCAGAGATCCCAGTTCGAAGATGGTGAAGAAAACGAGATAGGCCCACTTCCCACGTTTAGCACGCTGTTTTACTGCTCCAGTCCCGAGCTAGGAGCCACGTACCTTGTTGTTGTAGTATGTGAACATCTTCCCGGTCAGAGGCTGTAATGCCGCACTGCAGTGTGTCAGCTGTCCATCGTTGCCCGTTACTTTGTTACTAAAATAGCTAGATTCGGTTCACGTATACCCACCTAGCTAGCTGGTATGCCGCCATATACCAACCGACATCGGGAAGAGAGTGGAACTGGCTCGTGATGTTCGGTATGGCCTATTGTCATCAGTTAACTTTCCACTCCAAACACCGCCGTCCATCGCATGTCAACTTACTGTACCAATAATCGTGCCATCCAGCAACATCAGAAATCCCGACAGCGTCACACTTCCCAGTACAGCCAAGAGCTTGAGCCCAGTGACGTACTCTTGGTTCTCCTGCTCTTTCTCTGACTGCTCACGGGGAGTATCACTTGTTTCCTTGCCCCCTACGCCCTCGCCGCTGTCCCCAGTCCCCCCCGCCATTTTGGCGCTTTCGCCAGCGCCTTCGTGATTTTTGCTGCTGTGCTGCGCTTCGACGTCGCCGTGCTCCATGGCGATTGGTGTCAGACTCGTCAATTCCACATCCATTGTTTATCAACTGAGGTCTGCTGGCGGAGGCGCCAAGGATGGTCCAACGCAAGTGGTAAGGTCGAATTTGAAGCTTTGAAGAGAGTAGCTTGAAGCGGACGGACGAGCCGTGTCTCGGCCGGAGATTTGACGTTACCCGTGCGGCTGGTGTTTGTGTCACACTGCACAGATATACAGCTTCTCTTTACGTCCGGCGGAAGGTAGTGTCGCGCGGGAGCCAGCCCGCACGCTAACCGTAATAGACGAGCGCTAGGCCCTGGGCGCTTTTAGGGAGGATCCGCGACCGTAACAAAAGACGCCACCGAGTAAGAGTGACGATGTCTTCAGTGCTCGAGGTTGTTTCTAGGGCGTTTAGGGTGAATTGATGCTCCATGTAACTTTTCGCGACTGGCATTAGCTTCGCTCTAAACCCGGTTGGAAGAGTATATACCGTCTCATGCCCAAGAGTTACAGTGGTTAAAATCTCATCTTCGAGTTAGCATCCTATCATCTGTAGCTCTGCCGCGTTTCAACAGCTCTCACAACTTCAACATGAACCCAGTCAACCAAACCCCTTATCAACTTCCAGCTGACGCTACTTAGCTGAGTACGTGTACCCTCGGATTGAAATGAGAGGGAGTACAGTGGATTACAACTAACTCCACCGTCGTACAATAGTTACCGGGTGCTCGAGCGGCATTGGTCGTGCCATCGCAGAACTCGTCGCCAGCAAGCCCAACCGGCGTCTCATTGCAACCGCAAGGAACCCCTCCAGCCTTGCATACCTGCCGGACAGCAACTCCAACATCCTCAAGCTTGCCCTAGACGTTGCCTCTCCCACTTCGGTGGATAATGCCTTCAAGGCGGCCGCTGCTCACTTCGGAGCTAGCTTCCACATCGACGTCCTTGTCAACAATGCTGGCTACTTGCTCTCAGGCGACACCGAGGCCGCAACCGAGCAGGAAATGCACGATGAGCTCGAAACCAACTTCTTCGGCACTGCGTGTCGCTCTGGCCGCTGCCAAGGTGATGCGCCAGCACAAGGAGCACCGCGGAGACGTAATCTACAACATCTCTTCGGTCGCTGGTGTGTGCGGTTTCCCCGGATATGCCTTCTACCACGCCGAAAAATTCGCTGTGGAAGGCTGGACCGAGTCTGTCGCCCGAGAAATGCATCCGGATTGGAACAGTGAGTTGCTTTTCTTCCCATCTGACGGCCACAGCCTGCTCAGTATAGACCAGAAAGCGCATCACTGACTAGCTTTTCTCCCCAGTCAATTTCTGCCTGGTCGAGCCAGGCGCCATCAAGACGAACTTCGAGACCTCTAGCAGAAAACATATAAAGTCTCATGAAGCTGACGCGGGCAAAGACATGCCTGCCCGGAAACTCGAGGTCTTCGTCGAGCAGAATCTCAAGGCAGGTGTTGGCGTCGAGCCCATCATCGTCGCCCAAGTGCTGTTTAATGTCGCCAATCGAGGCGAGAAAGTTCCGTTTCATCTGCCGCTCACATCCACTAGAGTCCAGTTGATCAAGATGAAGCTCGAGGGACAGCTTCAGGGATTGGAGACTACGAAGGAGTTGAGTGATATAGATAAGAATCCAGCTTAGTTCACGATAGCCTCGATAGAGTTGAAAGAACCACTCTAAGATCTGGACCCTGCGGAGTCACGTGGTATGGGGTTCTTGAGTAGTTTTCTTTACCGATTTGATTATTCTGAAGACGTTACCTTACCTCAGTCGCTTGAATCGGAGGTGTCGTACTATCGTTTTGACAGTGCAGTCAGCTCTTTTGGATACTCTAAGCCTATGCGGCTTCGAAAAAGTGACGATGTCAGTTCCGGGGCTCGTAAACAAGAGACCCCTATTTCATAACCCTATTTTCTTCATCTTTAGCTAAAGGGCCTAAGTTGGAGCTACCTTCTTGTCACTTAATACTCTACGCAGCTATTCAAATGAAACCTTGTGTAATCTACTCTAGAGTAAAGACGATGTTATTTCCGGAGCTTGCAAATTGGCCGCGCATTGTTCCTAACTTGGAATTCTCCCTCTCTGTCAAGCAGGTTATATGCTTTTGCTGTTTTAACCGCATATGCAACTGCTTGGAATGTTCCGAGCATATGTAGCCTGATAGCAGGGTCGATGTTATTTCTAGGACTTCCAAACTGAACAGGTCCTGTGTTATTGCGAACAAGCATTATGGTAATGATAGCGCAGAGATACCTGGAAGACACGTCTGCGCTCCAGGTTCATCTGAACCTGTGCCGCTCTGGCAAGGGGATCTCAGCCGACTGGCAAATACCCCCGACCGCTCTAACGAGCGTCGATTTCCTGTTGCACCGCGGCCTTCAAACACACAATTCTACTATTGCTGAATACGGTATCCTCAGGGTGGCGCAATAGGTATTTCGAATGCGACGAAACGCGGCTGCATTGACAATCGACAGGCAAAGGGCCTACCAAGCTTCGTAGTCCCTCAAGCCGCTATCTACACCTCGCAGAATCGGCGAGAGCAATTGGACGTTGAAGAGAAGGGAGTGACTCGACGAGCTTGGTTGAAGTGCAAGATTTTCACGACCCAAAGACCTGATTTCTGTTCTGCGGAGACCCTTCAAATACTTATCCCCTTCTCAGTCTTCCAGCATCTCAGGCTCAATAATCCTGACCTTCTCCGCGATGTAGGCCCCGAAGCTCGGGAAACACTCCATGTCCATCCCCCCCATCGACTCCGCTGCGCACCACTCACACTCCTTGAATGCTTCAGCGTCCCCACAGAATGACCGTATCGCATTTGTGATCTCTTTCTTCAGCCCCTCTGACGAATCTTCGCTTTCGAGAATGGCAAGGTACGCATCCCGAACCTTCGCCACCGTCGCAGGAGGAAGCAAAAACACCATGGTCGTGTCCTCCCTCCCAATATGAATCGCGCGCCCCAGCTTTGGCCACGCATCGAAGTCATCGACGAAGTAATCAATTTGGCAATCAAGAAGATCAAGGCCAGTTTCTTCCATGAAGTCATAGTCGTCGTCGAATCTGACTTTGTCTGCCGGGAAGAGCGAAGAATCAAAGTATGTGCCATTCCAGAACCCCCCAAATCCATTAGTGACTCGGAGAAACGACTTGTAATCTTCTGGCAGCTTGACTCCCAGCCTTTCTTCGAGTGAGGATATTGCATCCTCGGACGCTGGATCGCGGAGAAGAGTTACTAGCTCATATGTTTTCTCCTCCTCCTGCCACATAGGCTCCAGCATCTCCTGTTTAGCCTTCTCGCTCTTTTGGGTATTTTCTGCGATCGTCTTAACCATCTCCTCCATACTCCCCACAACCGGCCTTACCATCCCCTCCTCATACCGCTTCACAAACGTCTCTTCAACAACCCTCCCAAGAGCTTCCATCTCTTCCCCATCCACCCCCATCGCCCTCGCGACCACCCCTTCCTTCGCAGCCTCCCATATCAACCTCGACTGCGCCAACGTCTCAAACAGCCTCCGCTTGTAACCCCCAAGCCTCTCCTTCAACGTCTCTTCCAAGCTCGGCACCCCCTCCCCCGTACCTTCCTGCTGCATCCTAAACCTGAACTCCAACGCCCTAACCAACCCCCCCTCGTCCGAAACATGCCGCCCATCTTCCACGGCCGGCCTTTTTGGATCGTCCAACTCCGCCAACGTCCGCTTAAATCCATATTCATTCGTCATCTCAACGGCATAAGAGTCGCAATACCACCAGTCCTTCGCCCACATGCGCGCCATCGCGTCGATCTCCTCGTCTGTGCCAGCTTTCTCGCGCTCACCGTCAGGCCAGGCGCCTGTAGCGGCCCAGCAGAGCCAGAGAGGCCGGAGCGCGGTGGTGCGGTCGTGGTGAAGAGGGCTGTGCTTGTTGAGGAGAGAAATGAGGCGGCGGGCCGTGGGGATCTGGGAGAGGAGGGCGAGTTTGAGAGCGAGAGAGATTAGAGAGGAGTTGACGGCGTAGGGTTTGGATTGTAGGATTTGGAGCGGGGAGAAAGTGGGTATGGCCATGGTGGGGATGGGGCAGAGTGCGGGGTAGATTTTGGAAATGGGATGTGGTGTTGGAGGGGAATGGGTGGGAAAAGAGGTAGTGGAGGGAACTGATCTTGTAGCTTTACTTGAGAAGAGGCTTTTTTCAGAGGCTGCTAAGAGGTTGCGTTGCTGAGTGCGGGCTTGGAGGAGGTGAGGTTCCGGTAAGGTTGAAGGTTGGATTTCGCTTACGGTGCCAGGGGGTAGCATTCGCTCGAAGTGGCTAATATTATTTAATAGGTAAAATGCAAGTACTATACTATAACCAAAGTTTGGGCACTCTTTTTAACTGGTTGCGGTACCCTTACAGGCTTTAAAATTCTAAGTATATGTGAAGGTTGATGTAGTAGATATCACACGACCTCTTGGTTCATTGGATCCCTGCCAGCTGAGGTACTCCTTACAGTAGTGTTCAGCGAGCACGAGTAGAGCCTGGGCAGAGAATTATGGGGGTACATCTTTAGATTACCTAGCACTGTATTAGGGCATTATCTTGCTGACATCCTTCTAATACCGCTTGAAGTGCTTGACTTCCAAACATCTTTGGCAACCCATAGGTGATCCAACAACAATCATGTCAATAGGTCTGATACGTTGTTGGGCTCACAACCGTAGATAGGTGTGCGCAGGCTAGAGGTGTAACTATTCGAAACGGCTTTCTGTCCATGCATTAAAGCACCACAAGGAACGGCGGAATGGCGGAATGATGTAGGCCGACTTTTGTTAGGAAAGTGATGAGAAAGCATTTGATTTAGTGACCAGAGGAAAGTGGCCGGAGGAAATTGACCGAACGCTCATTCACCAAAGATTTAGATTAAGGAACCCGACAAGTCTATAGAGGTCGGGATCAGTACCGAAAGACTTCAAACTAAGTGAGAGTGGACCAATAGAATCAAGTCGCAGGACCGCCGTTTGTCTATAGCGACCCCAGTCCTTCTTTTCGTGACAGTGTGGATGCTTGATAGACACTGCCCGAGGTGCCAGTGAAACCTGTGAAAGTCGGCCAAGATGACGGAATTCCGACTCGTGCAGAATTTCGAGAATGTGATAGAGCAGTCTGGAAAGCGGCAAGTGTTAATTCCTCCCGCATCCCCGTCCCTCTCATTTCCACGGCTGACGAACAATAGATCCCGATACTCGTTGCTGCACAGACACCGGCACCCATCCCACTACCTTCACTGTCGCCTTTCCTTTGGTTGTTCTCCATAGCTTGTACGAGACCCGGTGCACAAACACCTGAATAGGACGCTCGGGCACTATCCTCCACCAAGAACCCGAGAAATCCAACGTGACATGCTCCGTATTGGCAGGCAGCAGGAATATCTGCTGGGTCCATGCCCGCAGAAATTCGTCCAGCTGTTGTTCCCAGTCTTCATTGAAATAAAACCAGCTGTGTCGACACTTGCAGTCTTCGTCCCAATGATATGTATACAGTTCTGAGAATGGCTTCGCTTCAAGCCACTCGTTCAGGTCGTGGAGGATATGAAGATGAAAGTTCTTGGGTACCATCCGAAGAGGAGAGTTCGAAGGTGGAAGTGTGGTGAGAGCGGCGAGCACCTCTGCAGTCCGAGCTAGGATGGGGATCTGCCTTGCCAGGACATCGAGAGCATCGCAGCGGAGCAGACGAGAAACGTGGAGTAGTGGTATCGGGACGTGACGGTGGGGCTTCATCGGAGTGGCCAGAAAGCGATTTTCGAGGGCTTGAACGTGTTCGAGTCTTGGTATTCGATGACGGCGTACACCGCTATCTCGAAGTTCTTTGATCACGGCTCGGCCAACGGACTGAGCGAACGGAGCAAGTGCCGTCGGTGTGACCTGGCGCGTATCATTCGAGTTCCATGAGATTGGAAGCGCGTATGCGTTGGGGAGCGCGAAGAAGAGTATCCTCTCACGCAACTCCTTGGGGAGCCCACTCAAGTGATCCTGTAGACTGTTCCAACTGGAGTGGCTTCTTGCCACATTATTGTTGAGAATTTTCGTGTTGTTTCTCACAATAAGGTGGGGACTCCTACGAGCCTCTGGAGCAGTGATCACCGAGGCTATCTGGCCCATGATTATGATGATGGTGGTTTGGCGGCGAGCGATGTGCTTAGGCACGATGCAAAGGTCAACGACAGTGGAACTCGGGCTACCGTTCCACGGACTGAAGGGCTCCTAGCTGGGGCACTCCTTAAAGTGGTGTAGAAACGGCAAAAGTGGAGCCTAAGCAGTGAGACATCCGGGTGCCCAAACCTATAACCTCACCTTACAAAATAGTGCTGTGGTCTGCCTTCGCTCACTCCAGTGCCATTTTGATGATGAATGAAAAAGTATGGACGGCAGCGATGTCAAGGACAATACACTCTATCTTAGCCCGTGGTTCTTTGCAAGACTAATAGCAGACCAAATAACTTCACACCATAGAGTAGAAGGTTTGTATGGGAGTTCTGCACACATGGTAAACACGGTGAACCGTCCCACATCATTTTAAGAATATATTTTAGTGAATGTAAAGCTCTGCGCACCCTATATTAGCCGCATTCCTCAGACCCGCTGCGAAACTATATGAAAGGTTCACAATGCGGACAGATCTCGGGGTTAGGTAGCTCATCTATTGGAACACCAGCCGCCTTTGCAAAAGTGCGCCGTACGCCCTCGTGTCTAAACTCAAACTCCCCAGTGGCCTCACTATATTCTCGTGGGCAGAGCCCACACGACTGCCCATGCAGTGGAACTCCTTCCTCTAAGAGCAGTTCAACCATCGACTCTAAGCCTTGTTCGGATGCCCACTTCAGCGCAAGACCACCGACTTCGGGGTGGTTGACGCGAACCCCATGTCCACGAAGTAGGCGGAACATAGCGGTGTGTTCAAGTAACATGGCTCGAATGATAGGAGAAGAGTTGGTGACTTCTCGTTGAAAGCGCTCTTTTCCGACCGCATTACGGGTGGATTGGTAGCCACCGTACGTTACCAAAGGACGGGCTAGCTGGACATCGTGGCTCAAAAGGAGGCTTGTGATTCCGAGTTGTCCTGAACGAATCGCGTAGTTCAGATCAAGGGGAAGAGGTTCGGCGCCATAGGCAAGAAGGAGCTTGACAACTTCTGGTGTTCCGCTGCGACATGCTTTCATGAGATATTCTCTCAAGTCAACGATGGGTCTTTCGGTGAGTGACCCCTCGCCAAGAAGACGGCGTGTGAGAGCCACAGTATGTCTCATATAGTTGAACGCATCCCGTGATACATCCAGATTGATACCTTGTAACGCGAAGTTTCTACTTTCCCTGGATTGAATCATACGGAATACAAGATCCTAAATTTGACATAGCAATGCGTTGCCAGGGATCTCGGAGGAGCTAGCTTCGGGCTCGAGGGTGGGGAGATTTTCATCGTCGAGCAGACAGCCCCATAGTGATTGTAAGGCCAGGGAAAGCATCCTGGAGTTGCAGTTCCGGGTGCCTCCCGAGTGACGTAGGCTATGAGTTGGTCCCAATAATAAACTTTTGGGCGGATCTGAAGCAGGAATTCCACTACCTCATGCTGCTGTTGTGCCGCAGCTACGGGGACTATCGTGTATAAGACGGACGGACGAGTTATGTGATTCCTTCTGCCAGCGTCTGCCTCTGCATACAATTTCTTTAATGCGTCGAGAGGGCCTGTGTATGCTGCCACGCATAGGCGTATATGCAGGTTTTTTTCGTTGGATGTATCGACTCCAGGGGCGATCCGGCTGTAGGAGATAGGGCCCTGGCCATACTCGGACTGCCATTCCAAGACAGCGTAGCAGCAGCACACAGCCTTTATAACAGCATCTTGAGCCTCCTGATCCGTGTGCGGGATGCCGCGCTGCAGACACAGATACTTCGAAGTCTCATGAATTGCTGTCACGACGACAAGCTCCCCACCATCAGTCCATTCCGGGCGTCTCTTCTTTTTGAAGACAGTATGTCCCAAGACTAAGTGCTTCAGCCACGTAGGAAGTTCTTTAGATTCATCGGTATGAAATTCGACTATTCCGGAGATGCATAGTGCTTGCTCGACCTCGTGTGCAAAAAGCTCTGAGTAATTAATCAGACCTGGCCGACCTACAAGTTGCCAGGAAACTTACTACTGACCAGCCTCAGCCTCAAAATTCGCTTCAGTCCATCCAACCGCTCATTCAAATCGGCTCGAACGAAAACCGCTTGCTCCACTATTTTCCTAACCAATTCCAGCGGAAGATCCGAGAAAGACATGGTGATTGGAAGATGGGGTCTCCCTCCACCGAAATCTGGGGAAGGGCGGGCAGAACTCTAAAGGAGACGGAAGCTTGGAGTCTTGTTGCTGCCTGGCTCATGGAGTTTGAGTACCATTGCACAACATAACGCCTCAGTGCTATCGCAGGGATATGATAGGCAAGCTGTGCAGGTACAATCTGCGGCTTCGCCCGCAGCGCAACGTGTGCAAACCCTATTGGCAACAATAAAAGCTGTGGAACTTTCCATGCAGGTGTCCTTGATTTTGCTCCACAGGCCGTCGTCCGCATCGAGTTGCCATCAATAGAAGAAAGCCAAAAGAACAGCCTGTGAATGACTTCATTTGCGGCGCTGGAGCAATACATTGAAGAAGCTTCAATCATTTTACGTCCTCCAAATCTGGCGAAGTCTTGCGCTCGGGAGTTTGACGGGGTTGAGTTCTCCCACTCGAATAATGTTTGCTCAGCCAAAATCGATGACATTATCTACCAGCACATTCGCCAATAGGACTGGAGCCCGCTCGGAACTTGTTGGTGACTGCGAGTCTAGAGTCATGCATGCAGCTTGCTTCGCAGATCCCGAAATCCCCGAAAAGCGACAGATCGCAAGCATTTGAGATGAGCTAGATTCTAGATCCTTCGTGTCCCAGCAATGCCTTGCTACGGCGATATTGATTAAACAAGCCTACTTAGCAATGATCGCACGTCCGAGGCTCCTGCAGCTCCGCCAGCGGCGTCCTGGTTGCCTTCGCAAGAAAGGAAAGCATATTATCGTCAAGCATATCATCGTCAAGCATATCATCGTCAAGCGTGTCGTCGTCAAGCGTATCATCGTCGGGCGTATCCTCCTCAAGCATAACTGTTCCAAAGTCAGGACGGAGCCCGCATGATGGCCCGTGAAGCTGCACTCCTTCTAGCAACCGCTCGACCATGGATTCTAGATGTGCTTCCGCTGCCAGCTTTAATACCAGGCCGCCAGTTTCTGGGCGTTTGATGTCTATGACGGCATCATGGTTGCTAAGCTTATGGAGGAGGTTGAGCATCGCCGTGTTTTCTTGGAGAACGGCGCGGATGATAGGTGATGGCTTCTAACTTTTTGGAACACTGTCGGCGGAATATGTCCACTTTGGGACGTGCTGGCCCATTTTTACTCCGTGGTCCAGTAGCAAGGTGGTCATTGTAACTTGTCCGCGGTGTATGGACAGCTCTAGATCCTCAGTCACGGGCTCAACGTTGTTGGCGAGAAGAAGTTTGACCATGTCCGGCGTTCCCCAGCGGCAAGCGTTCCGGAGTAAGGATTCCATTCTCTTGCTGGGGCGCAGCGGAACCAGACTCGCACGAACTTTTCCCGTCAATGAGTTTGTTTGCCAAAGAAACGGTGTTATTCACATGACCAAGGAGAGAAGAAAGTGTAGGTGGCTTGACATCCAATGTGAACTGAAAGGGCAACTCTGTTGTGCGTCTCTTAGTGATGAGATACCAGAGCTGAATAAAAACATCCTTGCCAGTCACACCAGTGGGCGCATTCCCACAGTCCAATGATGGAATAGGCCCATAATTTTCGAATGGGATAAGTTCGTCGTTCTCAGTCTTCTGGCAAAGATCGGGTGTTTCCAGCGAAAGTCGAAGCATCTTGGAATTGCAGGATTTGGCCGCTTCAATTATTACCTCCTTCACAACGGGGTGATCGTGGTCGCGATAGCGGCAGAATTTTGAAAGATTCTGAAGGAGGTACTCCACGGCTTCATAGTGCCCCTTCTCCGCAGCAATCCGAAAGGGCGAGCCAAAGTCTGAACCTTCTCTCAGCCAAACTATACCACGCCTGGGTCTATCTGGGGCCAGGAGCCTTTCAGCCCTTTCGAATAACTCTTCGACCACATTTTTGACAACTTCAAGGTATCCCAAGCTTGCGGCTGCCACCAAAAGATTGATGTGGTTCTCGAATCCGTTGGAAAGGACCTCCGACAAGGAGTAGGCCAAACGGCCACTGGGTTTTGAAGTACCCCAGCAAGTAAAGACGACGGCTTGAAACATTTTGCGAGTCTCCTTGTTGTTGGGAATGCCGCGTCTTAGGCACAGCTGTTCCATAGTCCTGCGCATCTTTTCCTGGGCCGCCGGCTCCTGCGACCGATAAAAACTATGAGTCCCTTCAGGATACGGAGTCAATTGAGGATGGATGGCTTTCGAGCACAAGGAAAGGAGTCGCTGCGGAAGCAACCCAGGGGTATCCTTAAGACCAGGGTAGACTATGCCAGTGATGCACAGAGCTTCTTCGACCTCTGTTGCCCACAGTTCTGTAAAGCTTAGTGGGGTACGCCGAAATCAACGAAAGAACTCACTGCTAACAAGTCTCAGTCTCAAGGCCCTCTTGACATCTCGGACGAAGACGGCTTCCTAGAGGATTTGCTTCAGTAGCTCAGGTGGAATCTTTGCGGCAGTCATAGTGGCTGTAGTCGAGCAAGGCCTTTTTCGTGTCCGATTTGTGAGAGTAAAGAGCCTTATATGCGAGAAGAAGAGGAGACATATTGATGCCTAGCGATATCTGTTACGGGAATGTTGCACGGCGTTCGGGAGTGACATGCAGGAGGCCGCATCGTCGGTTTCGCGAGGGAAAGGACTGCGTGAAGAAATCTACCTCATCACCATGGATCGTGAGGTGGGCTGACGATACAGCACTATCTACATCTTTGCCACCTATAATCGAGCCTTCGAAGTTGAGACTTTGGCATCGGCAGAGTCTGGCGAGCCTGGCTCGAATCGCAAAGAGGCGTCTGCAGCAAGCCTCCTGCATCTTTCCGCGTCGCCAGTAGCGACTTTGCAGACTGACCATAACGTTTCCAAGAAGTGAGTCAGCAACATTTATGAGATACACTAACCACAGGATGCGCAAAAGGGCTGTATGTGTACTTTGTATCAAAGGCCATGCCTATCTCTAAAGCCCCCCGGAACTAGGGAAACAAGCATCGATCTCGTTACTTTTTGACTAACGACCATGCTTGCAGTACGTGTGGTTGAGCAGGACGTCGTATGCTGATGCTTGATACAATGGGAAGAGACGGAGACAGAAGTAAAATGTAATCGAGTGTCCATATCGTGCCCAGGGATTTGTCTGCGCTGGATTAAGTCACGTGTGCCTATGAATGATGCACAACACGTATTCATTACAACAGTACTCTTTAGGATATGCGATCGCATGCGTTCCATTCCAAATAGACAAGTAAGCACGAGCAGCACGTGGCACTTAGTATTGTTCTCAACTCTCAAAGACAACCCTTGCATTACCACAGCCGAGAAACATCTACTACCATATTAAACCCAGCAGCAACCTGAATCGTGAACGTCAAACCTGACCAACAATCCCGCAACTAATCCTCGAAAATCGCAATCCCCAATTCCCCATCCGCGACCGCACCAAGAATCTCTCCGACATCTTCTCCCCTCTCCTCCAGCACCCATTCTAGAGTCTGACCCCACGTCTCGCCGTTGTTTTCGAACCAGTCCCCGAGCCGCTTCACAAACATCTCGACCTGCCCCTTGAGTGGCGCGTTCTCTTTCAGCCACATTATCTGCTCCGGGTCCAGCTTCAGCATGTCCTCGACAACATAGTAGTGCGGGATGTCATCGCCCCAGCCCTCGGCACCAGGCTCGTGGTGCGGCGTCGGCATGAACTTGGACAACCCATAGCGGGAGTTAAATGCCGATGTGGAGTGGAAATGGTTCGAAAGCACGTTCGGCGAGGAGTGGTACTGAGACTGAAAGAGGCTGGACGCATTATTAGGCGGCGGGTAGTTGAGGTGGATGTTGAAGAGCAGCTGCTGGCTCTCGTTCTCAGGGAAGCGCTTCTTGAATTTGCGCGCGATAGTCCCGTTGGACGGGCACACGTTGCTGTGGATGACCTCGCGCAGCACGGCATGCACGTCGGCCATCTCAGCGAGCTCGGCCGTGCTCCAATTGTGCAGCAGCCCCGCGCGCTTCTGGATAGTGAGCTTCATCACACGCGTTTCGCGGGGAAACGTGCGGTTGTGGAAAGCATGCGTGTAAAGCCACAGGCGGTAGAGCGCGCGGCGGACGCGATAGCGCTCATCGGTAGTTAGGAGGCGGCGGTACTCGAAGTTCGACTTCCACTTCTTGAAGGGATAGATGTCGCACCACTTCTCTGCGACACGACCAGAGTGTGCAACCTGCTTGAGAAGGGCTATGGAGAACGGAACGGATCGCGGAATGTGGGCAGGCTGGCTGGCGTTGTGGGTGAGGAGCTGAGTGAGGTCCTTGAGGGGGCCGAATTGGGTCTCGGCAGCGTGCTCGAGGATCGTGAGCTTCTGGGAGGACGAGTATATCTGACGGAAGCGGTGGCAGGTGGAGGACAGGGCGAGGGCGTCCTCGATGCTAGAGCAGGAAAGGAAGACGTGGGAAACGAGCTCGGTTGCGAGATCTTCGAACAACATGTTGGCGGCGGGTATGGGTATATGGTGTGGAACTAATGGAATTCTTCTTCTTTAACGATCTTCTCTTCTTCAATTTTCCGTTTTCTGTTTGCTTTCTGGAAGTTGGAGGGCGAATCGGGTCGAATCTGTACACGGACAAGCGTCGACGCCGAGGGGGAGATCGGGGGCTCAAATGATTGGGACCCCTCCGTTGGGGCTATAAAAGAAGAATGCAGCATTCTTGGACTCGAACTCGGGCGCGACGCAAAGGGCAGAAGCCAGCCCAGATGGGCGGGAGGGGTGTTGAGGTATCATGGCTCGTGGGGTGGAGTGGAGATCGGGAGGAGAGGGAAAGGGGATGACTCCTGGCTGTGACGATAAACAGAGCCAAGTGGCATGCAATACAAGGGCACGATGCAAGTGGTATGGCAGACACTCGACGTCCCTCATACCTCTCGTCGTCATATATTCAGTCTTGAGCATTCAGCACTTAGTATCTTCGCATATCTCTTCAATTAGTTCATAGCTTCCAATGAGCTTCCTCCACCCAGCAGCACCGCAAGAAGTCCCCTTTCTGCTCCGCCTTCCCATCGAGCTCCGCCAGCACATCTACAGCTATATCCTCCCCTCCACCACCTCCTACGCCTCGCACTTCCCGCCCGCCGCGTCGGAGCCCTCGAACAGCGAGTTCAGCCTGACCTTTGTGCGCGAGACCCTCGGCGAGGGCGTCTGGAAGATGCAGCGCACCCTGCCCAACACCTCGCGCAAAGCCGGGAACGACATCGTGTGGCGACGGGGCTGGACCGCGCTGCTCGCCGTCAATCGCCAAATTCACGAGGAATGCGTAGACCTGATATACGGGGATAATACCTTCGTCATCGATGTGGCGTACGATAGCATCAAATTTCGCTACCGCTGGGTGCTGCCGAGCAATTTGACGCCCAGCCAGAGTTATTCGTTCCTCGATCACTTTTCGCAGCGAAATCTGCTGAGGATTAGAAATTATATTGTCAATGTCGAGCATGTGGATAGCTATACGGGCATGATCAAGTACAACTGCGGTGGGAGGGGTTTGACGGCGGGTATAAGGCAGCAAGTCCAAAATCTGGTAGAGCTGCTGGCCCTGGTGCCGAGCCTGCATCGCGTGCATGTACATCTCATTGATGGCGCAATTAGTAGGGTGAGATTCCCGAGTGGGCGGTTGCATCGCGTCCAGGACAAGGGGAACTGTGCAGCAGCGCAGACGGTGCTGGATCCGTTGTTCAGGCTATATGGGGTCAGGAAGGCGGCGGTGACAGGCGTAACCCCAGAGTATATGACCAGGCTTGAGGAACAAATGACGGGAGGTAGATGAATACGAATTATGAATTAGCCTCCTGAGGATCTCTATGACGACTAATCGATACGTCTTTGCGTCGCCAGACAGTCTCTCCCCATCTTCTCAACAGTCTACTGCCATGCAAACTTCCATCGTCTACAGAAATGCTTTACTCCCCTCCGAGTCCATATCTGTCTCTTTCTCCTGATCCACTTTTATCTGTACCTCCCGCCACTTCATCCTCCACTTCTTCGTCTCCTCCGCACAAGTTAGTTGCTTCTCCCGATCATCCCCCTCATGCTCATGCCATTTACACCAATCCGCCAGAATCCTCACTTTTGCAATCGCCTCCCTCGTAGCCAATCTTTCGCTTATCTCAAGCCTATGTTCTCCCTCCAGCTTATTGACGGCATCGCACACGCGAGCCACGAATCCGAACGGCAACCGTTCCCACACACTACTCGGCGGCAGCTCCAGAGCAACCATATACGCCATAAACCTGATCAAGGGCTCTTCGCGGTCTAATATTGCTGCGACAAGCATCGGGATCGATTCAGCGGGCGGAGGTCCCTTCTCGAAGCGAAAGAGAAAGGCATTAATCACATCGCGCCTCAGCTTGTCCACATCATGCTTGTCCACATCATGCTCAACAGCGAATGTATAGAGCGCTACGAGCTCCCTCTCGCGGAGTTCTTTCTGGCGCAATCTCTCGTCTGTGTTCGTGTCCTCTCGCTGAATTAACCAGGATGGCAGCTCGATCGTATCCAGCCAAGTTGTAAACAGGTCAAAGAGCTGCGGTGCTGTAGCTGAAAAATCGAGCGTTATAGACTGCTTGGACTCTTGGCATGGTTGGGCGGTCGCCTGGCTCTCTGCAAACTTAATTTTCTCCTCGAGGGACGTCGAGCAGGCGACTAGTAGGGCACGAGAGACGTGGCGGTCAACACGGTAGTGGAAGGAGCCTACACTGCAGTGGACTGTGGCGGTCTCGTCAGGAGGAGGGGCCGATGAGGCCATTGTGATGGGTAGCCAATGGATATAAAAAACATCAGTTAATGAGCAGGTCTCCGTCTATTAGTAGCCAAAATAATCAGCAAACCTGCCTGCGATTGAACACCCCCACTGGCAAATATAATGCACTAGGTCATAAGCTTCGTTATACGATAATTCACCGCTTGGCTCCAATATCACTCGCTCGAGCCCGCTGCGAGGAGTAGCATGGCTAGCAACTTGTCAGTCAGTCAAAAGGTAGCCTGCTTTCCACCGCATCAAACCTCGACATCGCATTCAGAGTTTCGAAACCCCATAAGTGGACCACAGGCAGTAGCAAGCCAGACTGCCCGACCTTGTGCATAATTCTGTATCTCTGGAGCTACGCTTTACCACAACTCATCAGCTTGCCCATCTCCCATCTCTCCCCGCCACCTTGCCCTCTGCGCCCTCGTCTCCTCACCACGAATACCGTTCTTCGCATCCCCAGCTTCATCATGGCAATGCCACCGACGCTAATCCCCTGGCATCCACCACCTCGTCGCCTTCCCCCTCTCAACCCCCTATCAACCCCCACCCGCCTCTCCCGCTCCACCACTTCCTCCACTTCCAGAAGCGTCTTATATATCTAAAGAGATGCGTTCTCTGAGTTGTGGCTAGCAGGCTTCCAACAAAGCGCGAGAGAGTTCGACTCTGATGAGGAAGGGGGGCGGCGTTGCAACGCACCTTAGCGGAACTGCGCGAAGGGGAGAAGATTATGGTAATTTCATTTTGGCATAAGGCCGTAGGTGGTAGACAGGAAAGAGACACGAGAGCCAGAATCGTGGTGTTATGGAGAGGGAAAGGACAAAGCAGATGCGTAGATGGGTTGAAAGAAAATGATAGCAGATAGAAAACCACCGAAGCATCCAGGCAGGAGCATGAGAGCTTGAGAGTAGCGTGTAGGGTGACGAAATCACGCCCTTCTCGCGACTACTCGCATGACCTAAATAAGAATCCTTCTTCCTCGCCTTATAAATATTTACTCTTCTCATCTCGCACTGTTTCAAGCAAGAGTTTGACACAGTGAAAAACACAGTATTTGGCATGCTGATATGGTTGTTTGCGTGCAAAATCAACAGCGCACCAAACTCATGGAGGGGAAGCGGGTGTCGTCTCTCACAGCCCTTCCAACGCCCACTAACACCAACACTCAATACTGCTCTCCACCACCTCGCCTACCAATCACCCACCGCAGGCAACCTTCCCTAACCGACTCCATCACGACCTCGCGCGGAAAACTCTTTTCACAACCTGAGAGCGACGAAAACCATCACTAACCTTTACTGACATCCCCCCCCTCCATGGGCTGTTTGCCTATCTTTGTTTGCACCAGCACCAAGTCCTCCAAAACCCCATTTGGTGTGCGTCCGATGTGTTCTTGCTGCCCCATCGCAACGGTGCTAGAAGCAGTTTGAGCATCACCCGAATCCAACTTTGATTTTGATTCGCAGGCTCTATTATATGGAACACATCGTGCTGTTGAACCTCTCACCCACTCGCCCTCCTCCTTGTCTGAGTTGTAAGGAGGAGGCGAGGCTTTTATACCCCAAGGACGAGATATTCGGGTGTCATGTGAGAAATCACATGCAAAGCCGGGCATTCAGAAATGGCGGTGTGTGTGAGTGGTCATGCGCGTCGTATATTCTACCTATATGATTAATATGCTAAGATATGCTGATATAAGAGAAAGGAAACCCGAACAGTTATTCTGCCATCCACGTAGATCAGTAGCATTTCCACAGATCCAGGGAGGCGCCGGAATAATCTAAAATACAGCATAAGCATCTACTTGTTAGTCGTATAAAGTGATTCATTGCTCGAACAAGAGCTTCATTTGATTCTCCTCCGCTTCGCTACCTCGTCATTGAACTTTTTCTCCGCCATGAACTCCACAGACCCATTTGAACGCTGCGATTCAAAGTTTAGGCCAATTGCACCTCCGTATAACGAGGACGCGCGACGTTTGGAGCCTCGGACGGGAGTCTCTGGAATAGAATCTGGAATTGCGGCATCCGGAGGGGTTTCCGGTATCGAATCCGGTATCTGGGCGTCTAGTGGACTCACTGGAAAGGAGTCGGAGTCGTGAGTCTGCAGTTGCCTACCGTAGTCGAAATCGGTGTCATCCATGTCCACATAGGTGTATGCTTCCTCGGAGTCTGGTACATTGGCCTGAGTTTCAGCGGGGGCGAATCCTACCAAAGCTATGTTGAGTTGGTTCATGGATGCAAAGACCGAAGGATTCGATGATTGTCGAACAGAGACCGAAGACCCCTGGCGCTCTATCTCGTGCTCTTCGGTGATTGTTGGCAGTGGAGTGTTAGCGCGTTTACCTTGCGAGACGTTTAGTGAGTTGTATGACGACTGGTTGTTAGAGTTAGAAGGCGCAGCAAAAAATTTGGAGACAATAGAACTGGAGAGAAAGGTCTTCGGTAATCCGTTGTTCCCGAGATGCGAAGTGACCTCTGGAACAAGCCGCTCCACCATCTTGAATACCTTCCGTGGCGGTTGCCAGTCTCGGATCGCGTTTTCATACAATGCTTCGAATGCGGCAGCGTGGTGTTCGTTTGTGAACCATGGATGTGCTAATGCTTGAGTGGCGGTCATGCGTCGGTCCTCATGGAGGACAAGAAGCTTTCTGATGAAATCCTTGGGCCTGTGGCCGACATGCTTCCAGACTTCGCCAGTGTCCATGATGGTAAGATTGCAGTTGGACAAAAGTTGCACAATCCCACTGCGGTCATCGTGATTGCTCCCTGCAAACAAGTTCTGTCCAGAAAGCAGAGCTGCCACAATGCAGCCTACGGACCACATATCTACGCTGGCGGAATAACCTTGGTCACGAGGAATGGTCCTGTTTTGCTTGAATATTTCGCTATGCTTTCGTCAATGATGTTTTCACGGGAACGAAATTAGAAACTTACGGAGCAGCAAATTCCAGAGTTCCCATCTTCGAAAACATCCGACCCCTCTCCTTTCCCGGGCCTTTCCCTTCCATTGGAGGGGGCATAGTCCGAGCGCCGCCGAAGTCAGTGACGATGATTCGAGCGGATTCATCAAGCGAAGTCATGAGGATGTTGTCGGGTTTTAGATCGCGATGTACGATACCACGGTCATGCAGATATTCCACTGCTTTCAGGATCTGGCGAGTAATGACTGCCGTTTCCGGGTCCGACAGGCAGCCTTTGGCGCCGATGTATGAATGCAGATCACCTCCGGGGATAAGCTCCTGGAAGATGTATCTGTCATCTGGTCAGCATCGAATAGCATCGATTTCGGGTATACTAACAAGCTATGCATACTCCAGAAGACCTTCTCGATTGTAATGATGTTCGGCTACACCGCGTTAGAGACAATTAGAATATCTGAAAGATTGATCTCACATGGCGCAAGTCCTTGACAATGTCGAATTCTCTCAAGGCTTTCTTAACTTTCTCGAACCAATCGTGAGGAATAGGGCGTCCTTTTGTGCTCGAGGCCTGGCCGATGGTAGGCGGAGGAGTCGGGCCGACATTATCAGACGGTTCAATGACATTGCGCAGATTTGAAGCATTCAGAACCCCGCTGAGGTTAACAATCTTGCAAGCCAATTGACAATTCGTCTTTCGATGTAACGCTACAAAGACCACGCCACCACCTCCATGGCCTAGAGTTCGGTTGGTAATCGTATAGCGTGAGCTGAAAAGCTAGATGGACTTAGTGCCAGGACTCTGAGACTGAGGCGGGTATCCCACACCTGTGATTCGCGCTCTTGTACGTCTTCCAGAACGCAGAACTCCTCATCAGCTCGAGTACGATAGACCAGCGATACGTTAGCAGAAATTTGAAGCTCGTCGTCAACATCCAGTAGATAGGCGCCCGATTTGCGGGTCAGGCGGATCTTGCTTGAAGTAGAAGATGGGACCTTCTGACAGGCGGTATAGCTTGGCGTTAAGATTGTACCATTCGTCGACATATCCGTTGCATACACGAGCGGACTGATGGCTTCGTTTTCATCCCAGATGAGACAATGAATGCGAAGATGCTTGTTGGAGATGCTTGGATCTGCCCAATGGTGGCGACTGCGACTGTTAATGAGGCTCACTTGTGCGAAACGATGAGTTTCTCACCATTTAGGGCTTCGACCGAGATAGAAGTCATCATACCTCTTGATGAGGATACGACTCTGGTGTACTGCTGCGGGATCAGCTCCAGTTCCGATGTGCAGGTCAAGGTTGTTACCTTGGCCATTGCTTGTTCTCTCCCATACCTCCAGATATGCCACCACCTGCTCCACTTCCTTGCCTGCCATCCTCCACCAATTGCGCCGGAGGATTGAAGCTAATACTGATACATGGTACTGAAGTTGGGATGAAAGGGAATGCGGAGGCAGCCGTCGAGTTGGTGTTTAGTGGGGCACCATCACTAGTGCCCAATACGGCTAGCCCAGCTCATAAGCGACAGCTCCGCACAAGAGCTCTTCGACCTCGCGCTGCTCGACCTTCCTCCATCACCTTCTCACTCATCTCGAAACGACGTAAGTGCTATCCATCCCGCTCCCAGTCTCTCGCCGTGTCTTCCAATTGCTCTTGCAACCTCGCAGAGGTCCTCAATTGCAAGCGGCAGACCCGCCCTCGCCTGGGAAACCCCGCTCGTGAGCGCAAATTCGCTGACCTCGCAAAGTCGCCTAGTTATCGAAGATGAGAGCCAAGTGGAGAAAGAAGAGAGTTCGACGCCTCAAGCGAAAGAGGAGAAAGACGCGTGCTCGTTCGTAAGTCATCACTCTTCCCCGGAACCTCACTTTTGCAGCTGGCTAACGGCCCTCCAGCAAGTAAACGCCTCGCCCCTCAACCTCAGCAACCCCTCAGCCTCCCACACAACCATAACGACACGACAATCCAAAATCGAAGTGCTATCAACCGCCGACGTCTGATCTCACCAACTCTTCTCTCATCAAGTCACGTTCCGACATCTGCTCGAGCATTGGCAGCGTGTGGGGAGGTGGAACAAATCAGAAGTCATCGATGCGGTAAAATGGGCTATGAATGCACGGAAGGAGGAGTTTGGGGAAGCTGGTCAACCATTCATGTTGGGGATGTCTTGCAAGGGTTTCTTGAACATGGCGGATGTGCTCTAACACCGGCAAGCTTCGTGCGAGCCTTTGAGTAGCTTCCTGCCAATGATCTGAAGTGGATATGCTATACTTCAATGAATTGCATGTTTGCTCATGCCGATTGCCTTTCCGCTATGTGATTGTGATTGCTGCCCTCCAATGCTAACATACGAGTTTTCAAAGCCCACCTCCGGAGAATCTCCGAGATGTCGCAACAACATGCTTCCTCGCGATGTGGTATCCGACTAGGCATAAATCCCCTTAGCTACTCTCTATCATCAGATCCTATCCTCATGTCTTCGCTCTCAGGTGGGTAGCGTTACTATCGAAAAAGATTCTCACTATTCTAAAACTCAATCCCATCTAGATTTCAATTTCTTTACCAACTGCCTAGCTACCACCTCTCCTCCAAGCCTCCCGCGTTCCTAATCTTTCTCCCATCTCTAATCTCTAATCTCTACAGTACCAAAACCCACGCATGGGCATCCTTTGCAGCTGCTTCGGGTATCCCGATAGGTTTTCAGACTCCAATACGATGTAAAGGTCAATATAGCGGACCTCAAACTACTTTTTCACGAAGCCGATACCTGCTAGCTAGGGTACTCCTTACAGTGGTTGTCGAGCGACCACCAAGCGCTGAGCGAAGCAGCGGTATATCCGTGTGCCCAAATTTATGACCTGGTATTGTAGCCTCCCGCCCGACTAAAAAAGTTGGCAAGGCTTCCCGGAGCTTCTAAAACACTAGCGCAGCTGGGTGCCGCCATCGTGCAACCTTAGCCCCCTCTTTGACCCAGATCATGGACATAGCACAGTCGGCGGCAGGCAGTATTAGCTTCCTATTTTCGTGTTCTCTGTGCCCTATTTGCTCCAGCTCACGTGCCCGGCACATGACTCCCAAGAATCTCCTCTCTCCAGGGTATTAAAAACCCCTCCACCCTCCTCCAACGTTCTTCTTCAAGGGTCTTGGGGTTGGAAGTCAACAAGTTCGTGGATACCTACCCATGGGGAGCAAAATGAACAAAAACCACAGTCCATGTCTGGTTCCTGTGGTCAACCGCGCTAGAGGAAGCAGTGATGGAGGATTGGTGGATCAAAAGCTGTCGGCTCAGCTTCCAATGGCTGTGGGGTGGGGTTTGGGAAGGTGGAACAACCTGGAGGGAACAGGAGGACCATGAGTGTGGTGGAGAGGAGGGATCAAAACTGTGACGACTTCTGGATTGATGGAGTGGGAGTGGGAAGGTGGAGGTGATGATGATCTGTATCATCGGGACGTTTGGATGGTAGGAATTGGGATGCTGTGATGTTGGGTAGGATGAGGAAGAGGAGACAGAGGCTGTTTTTGCTATGGGTTGTTGATAGTGATTATTAGAAGTTCATAATCGACCTCCGTCTTCACAGTCATGATACGAAAAGCCATTATGTTTTGCTCCAGCCATTTCCGCAGCCATGCATCGGTCTTCTCGGTAGTATTGAACACACTCACATGGATATCACTTCAGCCTAGTTTCTGAACATCCCTCAAGCCGATGTTCTCAAAGAATTTCGACTCTGAGTGCAGAAGAGATTTTATACAAAGGTACACTGGGAAACACGCGCTTGCACGGGACAGTCTTGGGTTTTCTAATGGTTAGAGCAAACATTAGTAGGATAGCATTGTAGCCACGAGATTTCACACGCGCACTAAAAGACAGATTTGAGCCAAATGTAATTATATTCGCTCCATCCGTAATACAGACACCTTGACCTATCAGCAAAGCCAACTCGATGCAAATGCTCTGACAGGCCTATCGAAACCTGCAGCTGATTAAAGAAAGAAAGAAGACAAAAGAAAGTTATGCAACGCTCGTAAATGCAGCAAAGATTGTGTTTCTCCAGGCACTCAACTCCATGCCCCAGAGGCGACTCGACTCCGACCTTCCTCTTCACAACCCTTCCTTTGAAGAGTTACACCAGGAGGCGGTTTAAACCTCTACCTTACGACCCTTCTCACTCTCTACAAGGACCTCATGCCGCACAGTCACCGCGTTATCCTTCAGTCCCTCCGCAGTAGACGGCGATCGCTCCGTCGACCATGCATGCGCAACGATGCCGGGGGAGCCAGAGACGAGCGCCATGTCGAGCTGGGGTTTCGAAGAGGAAGCAGATTGATCCGAATCTCGCCACTTGCTGGCTGCCTTTGCGGTTTTCGCGGACTTGGGAAAGTAGATATTGGAAGTGTCTTCGGTGTCGATGACGGAAATGGGGAGGATGTTTGGACGGGCGGAGGAATACTGGAACAGGCGTTTGAAAGCGGACGGCTTCTTCGTCGTAGTGTTCGCAACTGGGTGCTTGAGCATTGACTCAGTCGTGGAAGTCTGGCCGATAGAGGCGGTTTGAGAACTATCCGTGACCGTGGTAGCCTCAGACGACGAGGCATGCGAGACCTTGGACTTGAACGCCGTCTTCGTCTTCTCCGAAACAGAGAGCCAGCTCGTCTTGACTGACGCCGTGCTCGATTCTAATGCCTGCACCACTTTCCCGAGGCCCAGCTTGACCAACCATCCCTTGTACAGCTGGTATGCTTCTGCGCCGGTGCCGAGGAGGAGGAAGATGAGATAGCCGTTTGCGATGCGGATCCAGACCTCGTAGCGGACCTTGCCATTGCTGGGTACGTAGAGGACGGTGTCGCCTGTGTGCTCGTGCACACGACCCCAGTCGTATGCCTCGTTTTGAGTGCGGAGGACGCTGGCGTTGTCGTAAAGGATGTAGAAGAGCAGTGGCAGAGTGCCTATGCAAATGATGAAGGTGACGGCAAAGAGGCGGAGGAAGCGGGAGCTGGTCTGGCCGCGGGCGTTGACGAGGTGGCTGAACTGGGAGCGGTACTTGTAGAGGCGGTAGACGAGGACGACTAGATGGGTTAGCGTCTGTAAGAGGGCGAGAGCAGAATGAGGAGTGAGTTGGGGTGCTTACCGGAGTAGTAGGCCGCAAAGCTGTCGATGATTGGTGGCCAGATCCAGACGAAGACGACGGATGCCCAGCTGGTGTGGAAGCCGGGGCCGCAGCCTTGGATGCCGTAGATGAAGTAGCGGATGGTTTGCACGAAGTAGTACATGACCATGGACAGCACGGGGAAAACCCAGCACCAGAGAAGATCGAAGACGAGTTCCCGGATCCGATGGGCGCGTGATGGAGCCACTACGATGTTCTTGGTATCCAGGACTTTTGCCAGCCTGCGAAGGATGCATGCAAGACCACCGGGAAGAGCGACCCAAGCGCCGATGACGAGCCGGGACTCAATGTCGCAGAGAACGTTGCCGTTCCACCATTCGGTGAGGTTGTCGCGTGGCCAGATGATCGCGTTGATGACATTGACGAGGTTCATGATCATGATCCAGAGGACGAGGCTCGTGGCGGCTAGATTGCGCTGGTGGCAATGCCAGATGAGCATTGGGATGTCGAGGACGATGGTGATTGCTGAGAGAACGGGTATGACGACTGCGACGGTGTAATAGGGATAACTGATCCCTTCCAAAATCGAGGAGTCCATCTTGGATGCTGATGAGAGGAGAAGTTGAGTAAGGCTGTGGAGCTTTGTCGATCGTCGAAGGCAGGCTTGAGGTGTATGGCTGGGAGCTTGAAAAAGGCGGCTTCTGGTGATCCGATAGGCCAATTGTACTGAACTCCTGAGTCGACTTAGGTGCTTTGCGGGTGGCTTGAAGAGAAAGTGACAATGAAGGAGCAGTCGAAGACGAACAAAGATGGAGGATGATGAATGTAGAAGAGGAAGACGAAGCAAGATGTAAGACAGAGCAGGGACTAGAAGCGCGTATGGCCAGTCAATAACTCAATAAGGCCAGCTGCCTCAATAAGGTCAATAAGATCACGCAGCAAACGCCGGTGAAAACGTTCAACGCAGCCAAAAAAGGGATATTTCAAGACTCTGATGTATTAATTGCGCTCGAAAGTCAAATCACCTTATTTCTACTTGTTGCATCTCGCCAGACGCCTCAGAATGCCGCGGATTGTACCCTTTGTGCATGGTGGCCATGGTGGTGCAGTGAGACCAACGGAGATCTCGCTTGACGCTTTTGGGTCTGAATAAGAAGCGGGAGCCATACGCGACTTTTCAATCGCAAAAGCTGCGGGAAGTACCAGAGACACCTCCTGAGCCCATCGAGACAGTCATGGCTAGGCTTGAAGCTCCGGGAAAAGGAGGTTCTTGGGGAGTGTGCTGGTAGGTCGTGTCTGTGTCCTCGCGTTTACCACTGTCCGGGGTCCCCCCATGGACTTTCAAAAACATAGGCGCGATGTCAAGTTCCAAACAGTGTAAATTAGACTGCCTCTTGACTTACTGGCTACTTCCTAGCTGGGCCGCTCCTCACCGTGGTGTCGAGTGAGCAAGATTGGAGCCAAGCAGTGATAACTCCGTATCCGCGGCAGGATATCAGCCATTGGAAGTCGTCAACCGGTTTGGATCGTGCCGAGATGCTTGTCACTGCTTGGGGTACCCCAATGTGTTTTCCAAATCCAGATAAGATGTAAAAGTTGATGCCGTGGGAGCCAGGCTACCTTTTGACTGGCTGAGCATCTGCTAGCCGGGCCGCTCCTGACGGTGGTGCCGAGCGAGCAGGGGTGGAACCTGTGCAATGGTGTATCTGTGTGCCAGAATTTTTCCATTGGGATATGGAAGAAGCCTGTGCTCTAATGGATGTGATGCGAATTCGGCATCGTGGTGTTTGGTGTTGAGTCTACAATTGTCCGAAAGTGGAAAGGTCGGCCTGACGTAGGTCTTGGCGCTCTGCAGCGGCCGGGGAACATCATGCAGTGATTGGAGCGCAACAAGGCGAATCAACAACCACCCTCTCCGCGGCCAGCATGGCATTTGCCTCTTCTGCCGACGACGACGCCATCGCGAACTCGACTGTTCTTGAGACTCTATACCGCAAGGGCATTGCTCGCGCTTCTGTCCGACGGCAGACGCGCATACACGACCTCGGCATCGTCGTCACTTCGTGAAGCTCCTCACTTCCTTCCATTCAAACCATGGCCAACGCGACTGCAGAGAGCTCAGGCGCGCAGATAAATCCTCTCCTTCGACAGAGAATGCTCAGCCGCGCCTCGACCTTCGCCGAAGGAGTGCAGCCTGCTCCAGCAATACCGCGTCGACGGAGCTCTGTCTTGTCGGACCTCTCTGAAAGCCGCCACTCCCTGCGCTCGCGCTCTTCGACAGACAATCTGGCCCGGTCTGGCCCATACGATGGCATGGAGAATCTCATTCAATCAGAGGAGCCATCCCACTGGCATTCGGCGCCCCTCGCTTTTGCGATACTGCCGGCTGTTGGCGGTCTTCTATTCAAAAATGGCAGCTCTATCGTGACAGACGTGCTGCTTCTGGGACTGGGATCGCTTCTTCTGAACTTTTGTGTCAGGACACCATGGTAAATGTTCGCGCTCATGTCGAAGACGACTGAGAGACTAATGACCACAGGGATTGGTATCACGCTGCTCAAGCCGTCCACGTCCTCGATCCGGAACCCGACCCTTACTCTAGCACCATAATTGCGGAGGAAAGTGGCGAAGATGGAGACGGAGAGGTCGCTTCACCGGAACAGACACCCGCAGACCGGTCTCCGAATTTAGAGCAAAGTAGCAACAACACGAAATCAGTCGAACAAGAGGCCGCGGCGGGTGAATTGCGTCGGGAAGAGATTGTCGCGTTGATAGCATGCTTCCTCGGCCCATTAGTCGGCGCATACTTGTTACATGGGATTAGGAGTCAGCTCACGCGACAATCCGAAGGCCTTGTGTCAAACTACAACCTCACCATTTTCGTCATGGCGGCAGAACTGCGACCTATCTCGCATCTGGTCAAGATGAAGAAAGCTAGAATGCTCCATCTGCAGCGAATTGTCCGACCCGAATTAACCCCAAGCCAAGACATTGCAAAAGCCGATGCCCAGGAACTATCCAGGCGGCTGGCTGAAATAGAGGAGCGACTAGCAGAGGGCGGGCCTAAATTCAAAGAGGGAAACGTCCTAGAGATCTGTGGTGTAGTCAGGCAGAATATCCAACCGCAGCTCGACTCGCTGAATCGAGCAATGCGGCGGTACGAAAAACGGCTGACGGCAATGTCAATTCAATCGGAAGGTCGCTTTGGGGAACTCGAGATTCGGATAAAGGACGCCTTATCCCTGGCGGCATCTGCAGCTCGGACTGGCCAGAAGCCCGGGGTGATTGCTATGGCTTTGACATGGGTCAGCAACTTCTTCAAGTTCTGGTTTCAAACGCTATGGGCTGTCTTTGTCTGCCCACTGCAGCTGGCAGTTTCTTGTTCTACTGCCATCAAGTCGTGGTTTGTGCGTCCACAACGAGCAAGTAGGAGAAAAGCGCAGACGAAGGGTGAAGAGCATGCGTCTATCGCAACCTCCCGCATGCACTCCAGAAGTGCTCGATGACAGGCTGCTGGCAGGTACCTTTCTGTATCATTCCTCACTACCACGTATTTATTATTGAGCGTTATGCCGAAGACTCAAATACCTCCTGTTACTTTCCCTACGCTGATTCTAGCCTTTTTCTTATCGTCCATGCAGGTACCACTAATCATCGATACTCTCACCGCCTTGGATTAGTATACACAACACTTCAACCCCATATTTCTCTCCCAACAAGAAACAAAACGGTGTGATACTATCGGCCATTGACGTCGGTAACTGAACCAATTCGGCTTGCCGTAATGCTAAATGCAATAGTCTAGCAAGTGCGACATTACCCCACTACCCCACCATTGACCTGCATCGATCATCAATGTCACCTTGTGATTACATTTGTATGATTCACGTTCACCTATATCTTGGGATACCCTCGTGTACTTGTACGACAGTCTGCTCTGCAATTCCCCATCTCTCGTATATTTTCACCTAACTGGACTCGCCTCAAAGCCTCATCATGCCACTTCCATCCGACCTCCAGATCGACGTCTCCAAGTTCGACCCTACCAATTCCAACCCGAAGACCGAAGTGTTTAACAAGAAGCTTATCCATATAGCAAAGGATGGCCCGCGATGGTATGAGGTACGACTGCGCCAATCATACCAATTGACCGAAACTGTCTGCTAATACAGTTCATACAGGTTGGGGCTGCGAAGTACCGCCAGATGCGTTGGAACGGCGAAACCCCACTCCCTAAGCCCGTCGTGATCGAGTCCGGAGTCAACGGCACCATACCCTCGAGAGACCCAGGTCGCGAATTGACATACCGCCTGTTCAATCCGGAGAAGGGCGAGGTCAAGGGAATATACATGCACATTCACGGTGGTGGCTGGGTGTTGCAGTCGGAAGCATAGTACGTCTTCTTGCGTCTATGGAACGATCAATTGGCTAAACGATGCAGCCAGGACGGCTTGCTAAAGTACATGGCGGACAACACCGGCCTCGCTGTTGTCTCGATCGGATACAGACTCGCCCCTGAGGACCCCTGGCCCGCAGGTGCCGAGGACTGCTACGACTTCGCTGAATACCTCGTCGAACACGGAAAGGAGAGGTTCGGAGGCGAGCTAATGTTCACTGGCGGCGAGGCAAGCTTCTGTGCCCACTACCCTCGATCCATTTCCAGATTAAATGAAGCCTGCTAATACTCGCTATACAGTCTGCTGGCGGCCATTTCGCCGCCCTCGTCTCTCTCTACCTCTTGAAATCCAAACCAAACTTCGCCTTCCGCGGCCTCCTCCTTCACTTCGGCTGCTTCGACCTCTCCGGCTTCCTGCCCATGGTCGACCACCACGAGCGCGGATTGGTCATTGACCACGACATTATGAAGCGCTACATTGACGTGCTGCTGCCCAACACCACCATCGAGCAGCGGCGCCATCCCTCCATTTCCCCCTTCTTCGCCGATCTCCGAGGCTTGAAACTCCCGCCTGCGCTGTTCACATGCGGGACGGAGGACCCGTTGCTCGATGATACGGTGTTCATGAGTGCGAAGTGGATGATGTGGGGGAATGAGGCGGTCGTAAGAATTTACAATGGCGCGCCGCATGGGTTTATCATGTTCCCGCCGGGGACGATTGATGCCGTGCAGGAGGGGTTGGATGCAAGTACTGATTTCGTGAAGGAGAAGCTGGGTTGAGCCGGTGGGGGGAAGTGTAGGTAGGTAATTCGCAAGATGTAAGCCTGTGTGGTAAGTCTTGCAGGAGATGAGTACTAGGTTTCGCCAATGCAGGACCGAGGGTAGAAGGTGAAGCTATGCAAATGCGAATTGGATACGTCCTGTTGCTCGAAATATGATGAGTATGCAACTCTTTTCCAAGTGGTCCCTTTGTGTTCGTTCCCCCGAGTCACACTGGTGTTGATTCTACTCCCTGTCCAATTTCTGTTTCCTTCGCTCTTGGTCTTCCCCGTACAGTGCCTTGCCAGAAGTGCGTGTATACTCATTCACCGCTTTATGTCACGGTGTATCGTGGAGCCGTTCGATGGAGCTGAATAGCGGCGGAGCCTCGAAAAGTCTTACCGGCGGCGGCAAAACGAATTTGCGAGTCTCCTGTTCGGGCAACTCTTGGCAAGTCGCGAGGGCGCCGAAAAGTGTGGAGTACGCAACCCCCCCTCTAACTTCACGACGTGGATTAATTGTGTCTTAGAAACTTCTTCAAAATTACTACACGACTTTACGAATTACGTCCTGGTGTCAGATCTCGGTTAGCTTGCGTGGTTGGTGACCTATTCGCGAGAAAGGTCGAAGACGCCGGGAAGCTCGAAATTCTTCTTTCGCGGCGACGGGAAAACAAAATGGCGAGTCTCCTCTTTTGGCAACTCTTGGCAAGCCGTGAGTGCGACGGAAAGTGTGGAGTACGCAACCCCCCGTCTAACTTCACCACTTGGACTAACCACTTCCTAAGAACTCCATCAAAAATACTACCCGGCTGTGCGAATCACGTCCTGGTGTCGAATTCGCGCCAGTTTGCGTGGTTGTTGCGCTACGAAGTGAAAAGGCTCAAACGGCGGGCGGCTCCAAAATCCTCTTTCCGGGCGACGGCAGAACAAAATCGCGAGGCTCCCTTTCTGGCAACTCTTGGCAGGCCGCGAGGCCGTCAAAAAGTGTGGAGTACGCAACCCCCCCTCTAACTTTATCACATAGGCTAACAGCGTCTCCAAAAGTTCTTCAAAAATACTACTAGACCGTGCGAATCACGTCTCGGTGTCAAAATCGTGCTAGCTTGCGTGGTTGTGGAGCTATCTGTGAAAAGGCTGAATATCGGCGTGAGGGCCAAAACTCCTCATTCTCGGGGGACGGCGAAACAAATTCGCGATTCTCCCTTTCTGGCAACTCTTGGCAGCCGTGACGAGTTCGAAAAGTGTGGAGTACGCAACCCCCCTTCTAGATCAACGAAAACTACAAAATTCGCCACGGAAAGTTCTTAAGAAATACTAGTTGACCGTGCGAGCCACGTCCCGGTGTCAGATTCCTATTAGAGGTTGTGGTTGCTGCGCTATCTGCGATGAAGGGATGAAAAGCTCGAAACCTGGATTTTTGTCGCCAAGCCGACAAAGCTTACTAAGCCGGCGACCTAGAGTTGCGAGGGCGACGCATGTTTGCCCAGATGGCTCGACCGGGACAGCTCGCAGAACAGATCTGAGAATAGTATCTCATTTGCCTAAGTAGGTCGCATCTCACAAGAAGTTTCGGAAAGCACATTCTAGCTCCCCACCCGAATAGCTGCGGTCTCCTTAGGCTGCGCGGAAGAAAGGACGCACGCGACAGGAAAGAAACCTCGAAGAACAGCAACACCAACTTCAACTTTGACTTCACGATTACGGTAATGGTTAATGGACGGGAGAATTTCATATACGCTAGCTCATCCTGATGCTAACGTAAGATCGCAAGAAGCATACAATCTCGTCACTCATATCCTCCCTCCCCTCTCAATCCGACCATCCCTCCCCGACAAGCCAGTCCGTTCAAAGCCGAACCGTCAAAGTTAATGCTTGTAGTTGAAGCAATCCTTACACTTACCATGCCCGCAATCGCTGCAGATGCCCCAGTCATCGTAGTTGTCCGCCGCGCAGTCGCTACACCACCACTCTTTGCGTTGATGGAGAATGGGCGCTGCCTCGGATTTAGATAGGTATTGATGTGGTCTGAGCCAGTGGGTGAGCCATTCGAGCATTTTGTGGAGAATAAAGGCGGTTCTGGGCGGTCGAGGAGATAAAAGTATCGGAAAGCCACTATACCTGGAGGATGTTGGAGCATTCAAAGGGTAAAAACTAGCTGTGAAGGAGCGGGGAAAGATTGCGCGTCAGCGCTCAGGAGAAACTTCATCGTACACATCGTGGCTTCATTGCGGAGTAGTGCGCTGGCTTTATCGAGTCACTGCGTCGGACCTTCACCGACTTCGAGCTCGAAGGCTAAGTAACACGAATCCGCTTCAATCAAGCGTAGCTTCCGCGGGTGTTCAGTGATCACGGATCAAAGGCGAACCGTTTGCGAGTAACTGTGATTGGATTCAACTATCGCCCTACGATTGTGACAAGCCTCTCGTGGAAACAGAGCTGCTCGCTGAACAATCATCATGTCTAAAAAAGAAGAGAAGTGAAAAGAAATGAAACCTTCCCTCAGAGGAAGAGCAATCACATAAGGCCAAGCAAGAAATAAAGAAAACCTTCGGGCAAACTCAACGCAGACCTCCGCCTAATAAGCAGTCCGCTCAACGATCTTCCCGTTCGTACCCCTCCTGCTGAAAGTGTCCTTGCCCCAGACGACTTCCGGAGCCTTGCCTTCCGCAGATTTGCTCTTCTTGACCTGCTGGTTGGCGTTGGCTGGGTCCGCGCTGTACGGAGCCAACGCTACCCCCTGCGCAAATGCCTGCCATCCGGACGCTTTCTCAACCTTTTCCTCCAACAGGCCTGGCTTCATGACCGGCGCCGCAGTGGGAGCGGCTGTGTCCAAGCTCGTTGCAGTTGTAGCAACGGCCTCTGAACTGAAACTGGCGGCGGGCCGGAGCGGGCTTGGAGGATCTGTCGCTGTTAGACGCCGTGCCCGAAGATTTTTGTGGGCTCGAGCCGGTGGAACTTGGGTTTGAGTCGGGCGCTTTGGCGGTGGGATTGGCGCAGCGTGGTAGTGAAGGAGAAGGAGAATGGCCGTCATCACGGGATGAAGGCTCGGAAGCCCCCCGAGTCTCTGAAGTATGAGCCCCCAGGACGTGATCAGCAGAGATCATAGACTCCGCATTCACGGTGCCTGCGGCCTCTCCGTTCTCCATAATCTGATCTCCTACGGTCTTGTCGACATCAGCAGGAACTTCTGTAGCGTCAATCACGACGCAGTCCTCAGCGTCAACGCCTGGCTTGATAGCCTGAGTCGATTTTGGGGGGCTGGAAACCTTCGCGTCAACATATTCAGAGACCACTTCCGAGTTTTCGTAGTACTTGTCATCTAGGCGGTTTTCTTCGGCGTCATCGTTAGGAATGTCCTGCTTCGGTACGAGGGTAGAGCAACCAGTGGAGGGTGTTGCTTCGGAGATGTATGGAAAAAGGACAGAGGCGACGCTCGAGGTCTCGGTCTCCCATGAGATATTCTCTCCATCTTCTCCTTCGTATCATGTTAGTAATGTAGGAGAATATATGCGCGAAGAAAGCTTACCTTCGACTTCTTCGAACCCCTCTTCATTCTCATCACTCGCTTCATCTCCATCATCTTCATAGTCTTCCGCAGACTCCTCAATACAGTATTCAATGCCTCCTAGGGGCATGTCTCTCTCGGGTTTGCCATCCGCACCGATAGTGATGCGATCGAACATCGACCTTCCTGTCGATGTCACGGGAGCTTGCGTCTCATCATTCACTACCTCATCAGACGCAGCTTCGTCGGAAATAGCTTCATCGGACATAGTCTCCTCTTCAGAAGCCGACAAGACATGTTGTTCCTCTTCAAGAGTAGTGACACCAGGATCCTCCCCACAGACGGAAGAAAGATTGCCGAACATAGCCTCTTCGTCGAAGCTATCCTCTTCTTTGAAGACCTCTAAAACCCGCTCAAGCTCTTGAATCTTAGATGCTAAGATGGCACACTCGGCCTCGGAGTCGCCAAGTTGGCGCCGCAGAGCCTCGCAATCAGTGCATGCGTGAGATTCGGAAGAGATAGAGTAGGCCTTTGGCGATCCAAAGGTCGTCGAGAGGGGTTTACGATTATCTGTACGCGGGTGAGTTAGCACGATGTCTTGAGTCTGATATTGGATGCAATACATACCAGTTTCAGAAACCATCCTCGATTCGCTCCTCTTGGTCTTGGTGAAGAACCTTTCGATCAACTCTTGCTTCAGACAAGGGCTGTTGACGCGAGTCGACGGAGAGCCTGAGACTGGCTCGGAAGGGCGGCGCGAAGACTTTGCGGAATGCTTCGACGAAGTGGAAGCTTTGTCGTGCGCGGCTGATGCTAGCAAGGCTACGTTGAAGGAGGTTAGGCACGTATTTTATGAGTTACAGAAGGGAGCCAATCATACCTTTGTATGCAATTTTATCAAGAGCCTTCTGGTATAGCTTTCCTGTGTAATCCCGAAGTTCTGGAGGGATATCGACACCGTCCACGCCGCGAGACCCAAAGCCTCGAGAAGCGGGGGGTGGGGTGGGAGACGGCAAACTAGTCTTGTTCGACATGGTGAAAGACAGACAAAACGGGGAGGATGAGGGTATGAGCGGAGGGAGAGAAGGAGAGGAGATTTGTGGTGTTGCAGCACAGTGCTCGGGCATACGTGGGTGTGTTGTGGTTGTCAAGACACGGCGGTGCAAGTGTGAGGAAGGAAGTGGCTCAGTTCGGGTTGATGGGGGATGTTATGTCTGTCGTAAACTAGTTGTCACGTGCCTGCAGGTACAATTAGTGAATAGTTGGACCGGGGAAAACCTGCCTGCTCGAACGTTCGAGAGAGGTTGTGTCGTCGTGTGGGAGAACCAATTCACTTTCATCACACCACGGCATTGTGTAAGGGAATCAGAGGCGAAAGCAGGGTATCCCGAAGAAGCCTCCAATAGAGAAGATCGAGGAGAAGAACTGTTGAGTCGAACCGCCATTTCAACCACCCCCCTCCCCCCCCCCAACCCAAGAGAATCCTCGACAAGGTGATGTTTATGGAAATCCTGTGATACACCTTCTACCGAGGACTCGGCACAAGTCTAGTGAGTTGACAATTACATTGACCAGCGCCACCTTTGTCTCCATGGTAACAACAAACACGGTGCAATTGCAGCGTCTCTCCCTCGGCATTCTCCTTCGCGTTTCTAAAGGTCATGCTCGCTCAGTGACTGCTTGTACTAGGAGTGCAATTGCTGACCGCGAATGGCGATCCCGTCCAGGTTGACTAATTCTACTACTCAATGTTAACACAAGTGCTAAGCTCGTTGGAATGGATATGCATGCATCCCAATAGGAATCAATAGCGATTTTGACGAGCAATGTAATGAGTCCCGCGGCGAAACCCGCTGCGAAGATAGCCACGACCAATTTCGTGTAGTAACCCTTTGCGCATTCTTGGCAGTCGCAAGCTCGAAGGTTGTGTCTGCAATAGTAGTATCCGTACCAGGAGCGTAGTTCGTGCGAGGCGGGCGCCATGGTGATGAAGTTTCGTGGGTGGATAGGGGCCTGGGGTAGGAAGGTGGTGGATGAGCTAATTTAAGGCCTGTTAACTTTTACATCGCCCGCTCCCACTCTTCCACCCCCCATGGAGTGCCTTGATAGATTCACCGTGTATGCAGACCCCTTACACGAGCGGCCGGACTTGAAGCGTCCAGGAATGCAGTGACAGCATCCAGATGCAGCTATTCTCAATAATCCTGAAGCCTTTCAACGTGCTATATATACTGTAGAAATACGGGTCTAATATGGGGTGTGCAGAGCTTTACATTCACTAGGAATATTCTTGGAATGGCGTGGGGGATCCTACTGTGTTTCCCACGAGCGCAAACGTCCAATACGCAGCCTCTACTCTAGGATGTGAGGCTACTTGGTCTATTATTCGAGTTGGACAACCTTATATAGCGCCGTTTGAGGTCCTCCAACGTATTATCAGAAATGAAAATATGATGTCAAAAGCCCTACAGCATAGACTGGACTACATGAAAACGCACTTGCTCTTAATGACTTTGAAGCCATTCAATGTGCTATACGTGCTGTAAACCCATAGGTGTGATATAAGGTCTGCAGAGCTTTACATTCACCGAAATATCCTTAGAATGGTGTGGGGAAGTCTACTATGGTTTCTACTTGCCCAAACTACAACATGAAGCCTTTCATATATGCTGCGAAGCTATTCAACGTGCTATACGTGCTGTAAAAGGATAGTTGTGATATAAGGTCTACAGAACTTTACATTCACCAGAAATATTCTTAGAACGGTGTGGGGGAGTCTACTATGTTTCCCACGTGTGTAGAACTACAATATAAAGCCTGTAATATAGGCTGTAAAGCCATCTAACACGTTTTACACGCTGTAGAAGTACGTGGTCTAAAATAGGGTGTGCAGAGCTTTACATTTACTGAAAATATTCCTAGAATGGTATGGGGGAGTCTGCTATGTTTACCATGTGCGCAAAACTCCTATACAAACGTTCTAGTCTAGGCTGTGAAGCTATTCGACGTACTATATATGCTGTCGGAGTCCGTAGTCTAATATAAAGCGTGTAGAGCTTTACATTCACCAGGAACATTCTTAGAATGGTGTGAGGTGGTCTACCACATTTACTATGTGCGCAGAACTCCCATACAAACCTTCGAATCTAGGGTGTGAAGCTATTCAATATGCCGTACATGCTGTCGGAGGCCATGGTCTAATATAAAGTGTGCGGAGTATTACATTCACCAGGAACATTCTTGGATGGTGTGAGGCGGTCTACTGCATTTACCACGTGCGCAACACATCAGTCCAAAGCCTATGCTCTAGGAGGTGAAGCATTTTGGTCTGCTATTAGGCTTGTAGAAAACCAGGGGCTGATATAGAGTGTATTCACCTTGACATCACGGTCATCCTGTTTTAGTTTAGCGTGAGGTGGTCTAGCTGTATATCCACGTGCGCAAAACACCAGTCTAAAGCCTGTGCTCTAGGATGTAAAGCTATTCAATCTGCTATTACACCTGCAGAGAACCAGGGGCTGATATGAAGTGTATTCACCTTGACATCACGTTCATCCTTTTTCAGTTTAGCGTGAGGCGGTCCAGCTTCATATTCACATTGTCAAAGTCACAAATGAAGAGGTTCAGTTTGACCAGTGCATGATTCATTAACTGCATATCTGGTCCCCAGTACGAAACGCCGAAAACATGTGCCAAAGTGACCAATTCTCCCAATTGCCGGATCAACTTCAAGTTCCCCCAACAGTACCGAAAGTTAGTAGTCCGGTTCCAGAAGGTTGTCGAAGACGGGAGCCAACCGTCAGAGTCGGTTGCCATGCCATTCAGATCCAGGGTCGGTGGTCACGCAGTCACAAGAATCAAAGCAAAATCAAGAGTCAAAGCAATGTCCTCCAACCACAAAGCCCAAGGCAAAGGTGAAGAAAGACAGAAGGGAAGAGATATACCGTACCTTACAAGTCGATGAAGTCGTCGCAGACCGTCAGAGTCGCGCCAGCAAGACGGAAGTCGTGATCCAACTGGTCCACGTCTTGGCCATCGATGAAGTACGTGCCGAACGCCGACTCGTGAACGAGGACGGTGCGCGCAACTGGTTGGATTGGTTCCTGGAGTGATTCCCAGAGCGTTGCAAGAAGGTTCAGCTGGGTAATAAACATCATCGGCAGGTCCACCATGTCGTCCTCGGTTGAATAGCCGTATAGGTCGACAGCCGTGACGTGAAGGGGTAGTTGGGTAGCGAGGTTGAATTGTGGCTGAGAGTCCAATCCCTGTGCAATTGCCATTGGTGGAAGATGCACTCGCTCCAACAGTTTGAAGTCCTTCAGATCTCCAAGATTGCCAAGCGAGCCATGAACTGTTGAATAGAAGTCGAGACCAAGAAGGCGTAGAGACTCAAAGTGGTGGCGCCCGATACGGCACAGATGGTGCACATCGATGTCGTCCTCCGTATAAGGGATGTGCAGATCAAGCTCCTCCAAACGCTTGCAACCTTCAACGAGGTTCTTCAAGTTGTCCATGCCGGCATAGAAGCGCTTCAGGCTGAGAGACGTAATATTTGAAGACGACTTTGGAACAGCGCAGGCCGTGTCATCACCCTGTTTCCCAGACAGGCGGCCGAAGCCGGCAAAGCGGCGGAGCGATGGGAGCGCGAAGATCGGAGTAAGGTCAGCCATGACAATACCGTCTAAGCAGATGGTGATGTTCTTCAAGGCTCTGAAAGTGTTCGTGACTGTCAGAGCGGATCGAGTGAAGGTAGATTCGCCTAGGGCTATTCCTTTCATTGCCTTGCCATGCGGGGATCGGAGCTGGTCGTAATTCCACGTCCCGATCTGGTTGCGCGCAATGTTGGGGTCCATGTAGACCGAGCCGTTGAGGAGGAATGTCTGCAGGTTCGGAGTGAGCATCATGATGAGGCCTAGCTCCGCGGAAGGGTTTGAGACGCCCAGATCCTTTACGCAGTCTAGGCCAGTGCCCTCAAGACGAACAGAGTTCAGAAGCTCAGCGGAGCTCAGGCGTAGAAAGTAGTCCATGAAATTGCCCAAGTCCACAATAGCTAGGTCTTGACTCATGAACTCTATACGCTTCACAGCGTAACCAATGCTCGGATCCTTAAGCAGCTTGGCAACGAACGACTTGACAGCATAATCGGAATACAGCCCAACGTTTACGTAGACGTAGGGTTCGAAACAGTCGTAGAAGCGCTTCGAAGTTAAGTGCAGGTTGTAAAGCGGGTCTGACCACCAAGGATCATGTGGGTTGGCTGGCAGAGTGGCGGTTCCAGGAGTCTCATCATCAAGCGAGCTGGTGATGAGAGCATCGACAATGTTGAGCAAGATCTCATCCGGTACAGTGGTGAGCGAGGCTGGGGCACGGTCCGGGTCACGCCAAGCCTCTAGGAAGGCTGCCATCTCGGCCTTGGCGGCGGCCTTCTTTGTCTCATCATCGTCGACTACATCGTGTTCAGATTAGCATGCTCATAAACTTGCACAAATGATTGGATTCTGGCTGTAGATACAATCACCTTGATCAGCATGACGCATGTCATGAGCGGCGCCAGTGGGTACGTCGGACGCGTCAGACGCGACGGGAACTTCGAGACCGGTGGCGGTCTGCTCAATATGGCCGACTACACCATGTTCAGATTAGCATGCTCATGGACTTGTACAGGTGATTGGATTCTAGCTGTAGATACAATCACCTTCGAAAGCATGAGCCATGTCTTGAGCCACGCCGGTGGGGGGGTCGGACGCGTTGGACGCGTCGGAACCTGCGAAAGTGACACACTCGAAGCCCAAGGCAGGAGGCTGCTCAGGCATCTTGATGGACGGGCGACTTGTCGTGAGTAGTTGGTTGGCCAGTCAAGGAGCTCGGTGAATCGTGAAACGATAAAAGCTGATGTCGAGAGTGGTGGAGAGACGGAGGAGAGCAGGCGGGCGAGGAGTTTTTAAAGGCAAATGTGGGCGCCAAGGCGCTAGAAACGTGCCCAGGAATCCTCGACGCGTCCGATCCGGCCTGCACGGCTTCCGAGGGGTCGGGCCGGCGACAGTGAGCCCGGCCCGGCAGTGACGCAGCCTGTCACAGGCATGGAACAGTTTGAGCAGGGCCTGGTACGTCGTCAAAGGCATCCAAGGCATAGGACACCGCGGCGCACACCGTGTTATGCTGCGCTGCCAGGCGGCCGCTATGCAGCCAGACCGCCTGGCCACCACAAGCCTTTGGTTTTGCGGTGGAGTATAGAAAGAAAAGTGGAGTGTAGAAGGAAGGGAGGAAGAGGACCGGGCGACGAGCTTTTATAGACGGCAGGACTGCACATACGGGGCAGGCAGGTGCCTGGCCTACCCCATATGAAGGATAGAAGCTGAAGACGAAGAGCCAAGAGTCGACGGGGTGTATTGCAGGAGGAAAAGTGGAGTATAGGAGTAACGGAGGAAGGGAGCCGGATGACGAGCTTTTATAGCCTGAAATACAGCACATACGGGGCAGGCAGGTGTCTAGCCTGCCCCGTATGAAGGAGAGAAGCTGAAGATGAAGCGTCAAAAGTAGACGAGGTGCAGTGCAGGAGAGAAAGTGGAGTGTAGGAGTGAGGGAGGAAGAGAGTTAGGCGACAAGCTCTTATACACGACAGGACCAGCACATACGGGGCTGGCATCTGACTAGCCTGCCCCGTATGAAGTATTTAAGTTGAAGACGAAGAGTCGAGAGGAGACGAGGTACAGTGTAGGAGGGAAAGTGGAGTGTAAGAGGGACGGAAGAGGAGGACCAGGCGACGAGCCTTTATAGGCAACAGGACCAGCACATACGGAGCGGGCAGGTACCCAGCCTGTCCCGCATGAGGATAGGAGCCGAAGAGCTAAGAGCAGACGAAGTCCAGTGTAGGAGGAAAAGTGGAGTGTAGGAGGGAGGGAGAAGAAGGGGTCGGCGAACTTTTATAGGCGAGAGGACCAGCACATACGGGGCAAGCGGGTGCCTAGCCTGTTCCGCATGAAGATAGAAGCGAGAGAGTTAAGAGTAGATGGAGTCCAGTGCGGGAGAAAGGTGGAGTTTAGAAGGGAGAGAGGAAGAAGGGCCGGTCGACGAACTTTTATGGACGACATGACCAAGACATACGGGATAGGCATCTGCCCTGCCCCGTATGAGGAAGAGCCGGATAGCCAAGAGATTGCACCAGTGGTGCAACGAGATTGATTCCAAATTTAGCAACAGAAAAATAATAGAATTTGGCTACATGTTCCTGGAAAGAAGAGGAGTCTATTCAACATCCGGGAACCCCATGCGCAGATGGAACTTACAAGGCTTCGGGAGAGATGCCACCAAGGGGAGATATCTGTGACGGTGGATGCTGATGAGCTACCTAGGTAGGAATGCGACGATTCCAGGGCAAGCCGGCTGCTTTTGCAGTCAAATCCTAAAGCAAACAACACGCCAGCATCTCCGGAAGGACTTGGCTCAGGTTCCTAACATCCTACCGTTCTTGTGCGCTCTGCTCTCCGAAAAGCAGGGAGCGGCTGGACTGAGGCAACGTTATAGGCAAATTTAGTCCATATTTCACATTAGCGTATCGTAGACACCGCCCCGAGCATTGACGATGATATAGCTTGGAGGTGGCTGAATGAGATATGGGATCTGTCACAGTTTTGTTTAACGAAGGCTGCTAGAAGAACAAAGAACCGACACCCGCCAAAGCATCTACAAATACACTACTATAGCGAAGATTGATCTTGTAGATGGGCCGGAGACGGGCTGATAGTAACGTACGGAGTCCGGCACAGACTTCGATGAAGAAATGGTGTTCAAGGCAGGTCCGATGCCTTGACGATGACGCATCCCCGGAAGAAGAAACGCCAAGGACGCGATTCCAGAGCAACACGGTGACTGAGGACGGTGTAGGGCCAGCAGAGCACCCTTCAAGATGTTTCCAGGAGGATTCCTAGCTTTTGAAGGATATGGAGATGTGGGTGAGGTGTCGTGGTGAAGAGACGCAGCATGTATTGCGGTGGTGAGGTTGGGAAAAGCTTCGGTGTGGCATTCTCCGGGGCCAAGGCTGGGGGCTCCCAACTAGGGGGCTATTCTAAACCCCGCTCTGCCTTAGCTCAATCTTGCGACTTCACCTGATCCATGGATCTCCTGCCACGGCAATCTCGCATACCCCCATAGTCGACACGTGGCGACCATGGCAAGTTCCTCCCGCCACCTGCTGGGACTTCCCGGGGAGCTGCTGGAGCATGTCCTTTCGTTCCTCCACCCCAATGACACTGTTCACTTTGGCCGCACGTGCCGCTCCGCCTACGACTTCACACGCCCGTCGAACAAGCTGCTCTGGCGTTCGGCGTTCTTGCACGTCTTCGACGATCCCCGGGACGTCTGGGCTGAACTGCTGCCTTCTTCTCGAGCCCTGACGAAGACCCGAGAAGCCGGCTGGGACTGGCATGACGAGCTGGGCCGGCGAATGCGCGTTCTACGAGTGTTCCAGGACGATGATGTCGATGCCATTCAAGGAAACCATGATGAAATCACCGGCACCATCATCGACACCTTTGAAACGGCTTACATCGCCACGGGCCGGAATTTGACCTATCTAGACCAGGTATTCCAGGCTTCTTCTAATGCCGAAAGACTCGTTCATGATTTCCACAACGGTATTGAGAACTACTGCGCATCAAATGATACGCGGGTTGATCGGTCCATGATTACGAGATCTATGGTCCCTAGACAACCTGTTTCGCCTGATTCTTCGAAATTGCACGTTTTCTACGGACCAACCCGCCGAGAGTTCGCTTCGAAACCTTCTCGAGTGGGGGCGAGGGCTGTCGTTTACGATTGGTCTATTACAGGCCCGGATGCCGATCACGGGCCATTCATCAAAGATCTCAGCGGTCAAGTCAATTGGACATCAATGGAAGCCATCGCTAGTCTTATGTCGCGGAACTTTGACTCCGCAAAAGACGTACATCTGGAGACTCCGATCGGCTTCCGGAACAATATTCGCCATTTATCGCCCCAAAATCCCGAGTTCCCCAACGACTGGGCTGGTGTATCTGGAAAGTGGATTGGCACTTACGCTTTTCTCGACTACAGAGATTTGGTGCATTACAACATCGCTCATGGCCCAGAACATGGCGCTGGGTTGGAGTCGTATGAAGAGGCGACCGGAGATCTCATGCTTTTGGACCTAAGGCTGGACGAATCCGACGAGGCCAAGAACGATCCCAGATTTCGCACGCCGTTACCAGTATGCGAGGATCTTCCTGTGCTGTATTTCTCCGGTATTTCACGAAGTCATCGTTCTCACACTCCACGTATCAGCATCCGGGGAAGTGCCTCTTTAGTCCCGGGAGGCAGAGAGGTTCGATGGCGCTTCCTTATCAAGTGAGTTTTTTGTTCGCATCACGGTAGTCATCACTAACCGGGAAGCAGTTACGCGGGCGCAGACCAATGGCAACTTGAAGGAGTCCAGCCCGGAGGCGTTCGCTCAGGAGGTATTTTTGGCATCTGGACGCATTGCGATCATGATGAGAATGGCCCGATTGGGCCGTTCTGCTACTACCCTTATTCGCTTTGTGAGAACAAGGAAGAGCTTGACTTCTGACCTCAGCGAGCTTTGCTTAAATATGTACATGAATTAGGTTTGATCTCATCTTTCTCCTCGGCATTCGCTTCGAATTTACGTAAATTCACGACACCAATGCTGTGAAAGCCCGTCTATCGTCCCTCCCTGCGTAGTGAGACACCCTTCGTGCCGAGACATAGAGGAGTACTTTGACTTGAAGCAACTTGATTTCGGTGCACACAATGATATTTGGGTCAGTTCTATATAGGTTATTTGCGATAGCTATTCATAAACATTTAAGAGGCTTGGTAAGTTATTACTAGCCTTGTGTCCGCTATGGCGCCCGAATTCATGTAGGATCGCTACGCTGATTGGTACCTCTAACCGAAGCGATCGCTAGTTCCGGCTAGTGCGAAATGACGCCGCACGTCCACCTCAGCTGCTAAGTAAGCAGTGCGGGACACTTTCTTGTCACCTCGCAGAGTTTCAATGCTCTTCTAACTAATCTATTTCAATCTCTTCTAACGCCCCCCCCTGGGTGGCGCAAAACCCCCCGTGCCGCAATAAATTCATTATTTAGGCATCTCACTCTCTCCCTCACGATTCCATCAGGGTTTAATTAGTCTATTATTATTCTTTAGACACTTCTCCCTAGGAGACTGGTGTGCAGCTAAAAAATTACGATGTTCTTGATCATGCTGTTGATCATTCCTTTCAGAGCATCCGGAACGGCATTAGCTTTACACCCCTGCTGCACCACGACTATCTACCACATTTTATATTTCGGAGCATTGCACCGATAGTCCTAGGACGAAAAAATGCCTCTAAGCTTTACGGCAATAGGCCCTTAGAAGCATACATTCCGTATTTATCCATGCGAAGGGGTCCGCAGTGTCTCTTGGCATGAGGGTTTAGCGCGCTTACGTAGGGAGGTATTAGATATCTAACTAGTCGTACTGTATTTTACGCTATGCTTAAAATGCGGTGCTCTTCTAGGAACGTCTTGGGACGGTCACGTGCTGGCTTTTTTGGCAGCTGGGCGTGCGCGTTCATTGTTGCCACCTGGCAGTTGCTAGCGAATGCGGCTTCACCCAAAACGTGGCCGCAACATGTATTCTAACTTACCCCACCACACCACCCGTAAGTGGAAGCCTTGCACCCCACCTTATGTATCCGGTTAGGCACCATTAGCTTAGGCACGTGATTTGCCACGGTACAAGAAGGTACTTCTCTACCACCGCTTGAGCTGACAAGGGTGTGGCCAGAGCGAATCGGCCACCCTCCCTGCTAGCCGTGGCGATATCAAATGCGAAGTCGTCCTCGAAATTATTCAAATATCGCCTACTAAGCACATTCGCCTGGCCACGTGATAGGTGCCTCTTGCAGCTCAGCCGCGTTGCTCCCGCCCCACCAGTCCTCTCACACCTTCCCTTCATGCACTTGCCAACCAACGTAGTGGCAGTTCTTTGGATACTTGGCCCGTGGACATCTTGCTTACCTCTATCCTAACGATTTCTCTAGCTTGAGCTCGCTGATAGTTCTCTCCTCATGCGTCTTTTGCGGCTTGAAGATGACGGCGAGTTCAGCCTGACCGACTATATTGGCTACGATGTCCCACCGTATGCGATCCTTTCGCACACTTGGGGAGCGTATAACGAAGAAGTTACATTCAGAGACCTAGTGGATGGTGTAGGCAAGAGCAAAGCTGGCTACAGCAAGATCCGCTTCTGCGGAAAGCAAGCTGCTCATGACGGCCTACAATACTTTTGGGTGGACGCCTGCTGCATTGATAAGTCAAGCAGTGCAGAGCTTTCAGAAGCCATCAACTCCATGTTTCGCTGGTACCATGATGCGGCGAGATGCTACGTGTATCTGTCCGATGTTTCAGTCAGCACTTCTGATGGGGACAGCAAATTCTCTCGAAGTTGGAAACCAGCATTCAAGAAAAGCAGGTGGTTTACTCGTGGCTGGACGCTTCAAGAGCTTATTGCTCCAACATCAATTGAATTCTTCGCCATGGAGGAACAGCGGCTTGGTGATAAGCAATCACTAGAACAAACTCTCCATGAGATAACAGGGATCGCCATTACAAGACTGAAAAGAGCTACCCTCGGATTCTCTCGCCCGAGCTGGAAAATGTGAATTCTTCAGATCAATCCGAGCTCCAACCGCAAATATCTGAAAACGGAACTTCGACTACTATGTCCCCCGTGGTTTTATATCCCAATCAGCTTGCAGATTTTGGTTTCCGTATTTTCATCCTCGACCCTGGAGTGATAGGAAGCAAAATCACCGGCCGCATTGAGGAGTTCAGCCTCTTAGATCCTCCAGTATACAACGCTCTGAGCTATGTATGGGGCCAAGAGCCCGCAATACACCGGGTGTTCGTAAACAGCGAAGCGACTTTTATACGACCAAATCTTTTCCATGCACTACAACGGATAAGGCTACGAACAGGTTACCTTCGCATATGGGTAGACTCCCTTTGCATCAATCAGCTCGATGACTTAGAAAGGAATGCGCAAGTCAGACAAATGGCAACTATCTACCGCAAGGCCAGCAGTGTCTTGATCTGGTTAGGCGAAGAGGACTCAACTAGCAAATTTGCCATGGAATTTGTGCCTAAGATAATTCGAAGCGACTTTCAGTGGGATGGCTCATGGTGGGAACAATACGGTTTTATTACCCTGGCCCAGATTTTGGAAAGACCTTGGTTTCGACGAGGCTGGGTTCTCCAAGAAGCTGCATTCTCAACAAACTCAACTATTTACTGTGGCGACCGTCAAGTCCATATGGACCATTTTGCCATGACTATAGACTTGGTTCGGGCTAGGCTCAGCAGCATACTACCGTCTTTCAGTCGCACAGGAAATACAATGCGGACAGAGATATTGGCCAACTTTCATGACTCACCTGCAGTTAAGCTTCTGGATACCATCGAAGGTGTATTCAGAAAGTCTGAGGATGGACACATTCTTCATCGTAGAATGTCCTTAGAGACGCTTGTGGCTTTGGGGACTTCCAGTGAAACGACCGATCAGCGAGATACAATCTATGCTTTGTTGAATCTGGCTAGTGACATAGCAGCGTGGTCACAGCCCGACCAATCCGACGCCATAATTCCGAATTACGGCAAGAATGTACTGGATGTTTATGTCGATTTCATTCTCCACTGCTGTCACCATTCAGGGTCATTGGATATCATTTGCCGTCCTTGGGCGCCAATTTCGTCCTCTATAGTACATACTACTGGCCAAGACAGGCGAGCCGACCACACATTACTAAAATACCCGTCATGGATAGCGCCCAGAGACGGTTTACCTTTCGGCGATCCTTCTCGGCGATTGAAACACCGTTTACATGGCAATCCATTCGTTGGCAGCCATCAGAAGCCTGTTTACAATGCTCATTACGGATTGAAACCTCATGTTTCTGTGGGAAGAAATGAAGTCGACGGGGCATGTGATGGGTCATTTTACGCGAGTGGTATCATTCTCGGGGAGGTTGCTCGAAAATCAACAAGATTGGCGAGTGCTATTGTAACGAAAGAGAGTTTGGAAATCCTTGGAACGATCTCTCGCAAATCTCACTCAGATCTTATCAATATGCCAGACACCATTTGGCGCACACTTTGTGCAGACCGTGATGGCAGAGGCCAACCTGCGCCGTCGGTCTATCGAGTGGCAATGCTTCACCTGTTGCAGATCAGCTTTAAGACTCCGAAACCCGAGAGTTCTACTAATCTGCTCGAGCATATGTCTAGTATTGATATTGAAGAACTTTTGGACACCGAAATACCCATCCACGTCAAGAAATACCTTGCGGTTGTTCGGGATGTTATTTGGAATCGTCGAACATATAAGTCAAAAGTGAATGATGGCAATAAGGGACCTTTGGTCGGCCTTATACCTCAAAACGCGAAGGTCGGTGACCAGGTGTGTATTTTGTATGGCTGCAGTGTGCCAGTTATCCTTCGGAAGCTGCCTAGCTCTGATGATGAGAGTTGTTGGCAGTTGATTGGCGATGCATACGTTTACGGAATTATGGATGGGGAAGTAATTCGTTCGGCATCAACACAGACACTTAAGACCACAGAAACCAAGTTTAAAATACGATAAGGCCCTGCCTTAGTCGGAAATGGTCATGTGATAAGTAGGCAACCTGTTCAATACCATCAATTCGCATGCACGCATACACACGATCTTCGTAAAACTTTGGCCTAAGAATGTTAATGTGATTCTTTATGGGAATTCTCGACCTTTAATCTACCCGCATATCATAAGCTATTAGTCTAACGACCTAAGCTCGTGAATGCTAACTGATGACATCATTATGGTATTACAATACGTCGAACTGCTTGGTTCTCCACTCCTGCGAAAGGACACCACGTCGTGAGAAGTTATTAGCGAGAACGTACTCCAGTTACAGAACATGTCCTTGGCCTTGAGCATCAACACCCAACATTATCGCTAGAGGCCCTGAACAAGTAACAATTAGAGAACATAGGGATCGATTAATAGAGAGACTTAGAATAGCTTATTGTACATGCATGGGCGTAAGTGCCCTACGCGTAGCTTAGAAGCAATCACTTACTTTATAGTATTCTCTTTCAAGTCTAAAGCTGTAACGTGCTTCCCTGGGTGGCGAGAAACCCCCCGTGCCGAGAAAAATATATTGTTCAAGGATCTCAAGTCTTTCCTCGTGAGCCTATGAAGTTATAGTTAATATATTAATATTCTTTAGACATTTCTCCTCAGAATATCAGTCTGCAACTAGAAAAATACGACGATCTTGGTCATGCTATTAATCGTTCCGTTCACGGCGTCTAGGACCACATCAGCTTTGCACCCCTGCTCCACCATGACTATCTAAATATTTCTAGATTTCGGAGCCTTAGGGCAATGATTCTATCAAGAAAGAAAATAGCTCCGAGCTTTGAAGATGCTCCGCTATTGAAAGCATGCATAATAAAGTTTCTCCGTGCGAAGGGGTTGCTCGGTATCTTGGCATACGGATTTAGTGCGCTTACGTAGTAGAGTATTATACATTTAGCTAATTGTATTATACTCGACACCGAACTGACTTGAGGTGTGGCGTGTGGCGTTCTTCTCGAAACTTCCTTGGACGGTCACGTGTTGGTTATTTTTAGCGCGTTTCATTGTTGGCTTCGTGGCCTTTCACGTCGGCTTCGTGGCCGCTCACGTTGGCTTTGTGGCCTTTCATGTTCCTTTCACCACCACAATCGCTAATATGGACCGAGCCAGTCAGGTGCTGGCTCTGGCGCAAGCCCTCCCTCCAAACGTGCCTAGGACATATGCTACCCTAGCAGAACGGGGCGATGTTCCTCTCTCTACCATCCATCATCGTGAAAATGGACGACGCTCAATAGAGGAAAAGGGCCAAAGCCAGCAATACCTCACCCGAGAGGAAGAGAAAGCCATTGTTAAATACTTATTACTAATGTCTAATCTCGGGCAACCAGTGCGCATAAAGTTATATCCCTTCGCTAGCCTTTTGTGTCGCCCGCAACCGGTCAACGAATAATCCAACCAAGCCTCTACCAATCAAGCCTCCAGGCAAGAACTGGGCTCGAGCCTTCGAAAAACGCCATCCAGAACTCAAAGCTAGAACAGTTAGGGCTCTCGACTGGAAACGGCATGGGAATAACATATTTGATAAGATCACGGAGTGGTTTGAAGTGATCGGAAAGGTGCTACAGGATCTAGCCATTCTGCCAGAAAATGTCTATAACATGGACGAGACGGGAGTCTTGCTAAGCATGCTCAGTTCTGTTAAAGTCCTTGTAGGTAGGGAGGACCTGCGAAACCATAGAGGTGCGGGTGTTAAGCGGACAATGGTGACTGCTATTGAGTGCATCAGTGCTGACGGCAGGGCGCTGCTCCCCCTTGTAATCTGGCCAGCTTCAACCCACCGGAGCAACTGGACCACATACCCAACCCCTGGATGGCATTATGCGCATTCTGAAACTGGATATACCGACTCTAAGATTAGCTTAGAGTAGCTTAAGCGTGTATTTGATGCCCAAACTAAAGAACAGGCTAACTAGAAACCACGGGTTCTAATATGCGACGGCTTCGGGACACACGAGACAGTCGAGATCTTGGAGCATTGCTTTGAAAACAACATCATCCTATGCCGTCTCCCCTCTCATACCTCCCACAAGCTCCAGCCCTGTGACGTCGGAGTCTTTGCACCCTTAAAGGCAGCCTACCGCGACCATGTTGCAGCTATTAGAACGCTTTTGAACAGAGCACTCGTCAGAGAACCTAAAGGGCTGGCGTCTCCAGTTGAAATTACGGTACTGTCTCGAATTAAAGCCTCTCTCGAGCTACTGCTCTCACTATCTTAGGCTTGCGCACTGATGTGAACTTTGTGAGGCCTTTATTCTTAAGCGCGCAATATGCAGTCTTCCGGGAGATGCGCTGGAGAGTCAGGGTTTTGGCTGCAAACGCCATTAACGGGGCAACAGCTCTATATGGTTAGCTTCGTATACTACCCCCCCCCCCTTTATCTTGTCTCCTTACTCAGTAGCGTGGAACGTCTCTCATACAGGTTGTGGAACGTACCTGTAACCAGCTCTCTGCACGAGTTGTATTATCTTCTCTATATATACGGCCCCTACGGCCTCGACAATACAGTAGAGTTCACCTTCCCGAAAACCTCAACATGGAGGGACGTGTCTCTTAAGAGCTGTTGGTACTCAATTTTCGGGGTTTTCCGGGCAGTGCGATACAGCAAGCGCTTCTCTCGGTGCGTAAGTGTAGGAGGGCGTCCTAAACGAGGGCGAGATCTGTTGTCGTGTTGCTCTCTAAATCGCTGAAGAGTTTTGTTGATGCAACGCTTCGTGCAGCTGAACTCCTCAGCCGCTCCCGTGACGAGGCGCCAGCCTCAGACTTAGAAACAATACTATCTCTTGCTTGAGAAGTAAGTTCGGCATTCTTTCCGCGATTTCCTGAAATTTCCTGGCCGAAGGACCTCATTTTGGTGGTGTAATGTATTGCTGAAGATGAGGTGTTGATTTTTCGCGACGGGCGCTAGCGAATGTGGGAACAAACTTTTTTCTTGGCACAGTACAACATAGCCTAAACAATTCTTCGTAGTACTATGCTCACGGATTTCTTCATTTATGTTAATTGAGTATCCGTTCAAGCACTGGCCCACAGCTAAACACCACTGGGGTGTGAGTAAAATAGTCGAATCCGTGCTGTTTTTAATCTAGCACTATTCTAGAAATGCACTGGTTTTAGATTCTAACCAGTACCCCACCTCCAAATATCGAACGGTGAGGAATGCGATCCCTCTTGTCGCGTCAAACTCCAGTAGCATACAATTGGTACTAATGTTTTGTTGTCGCGTGGACGTTCTCAAGTAATCTGTGCGCCTGATCTAGTTCAGCAACACTTCTATGCGGCTCGATTCCTCGTTACGGTACGAAGGCTAGCCTCTAGCTTTGAATGTGCTTTACATGTACGAAGCAGAGAATTCAAATCATCGCCGAAACGGTTTGTGGCAGATTAGGGCAACATAGGAGCTAACGTTAGTTATTATTTGAGAAACATTAGCGAGTGGGCCCGTGTGCAAAACTATTCTTTGATAACGAGCATTGATTCCAACACAAACATATAGAAGACGATAGAATAATGGATTTCGAAACCCTATAAATTCACGTATTCTCCTAAACCCTTTTTGTAGCAACCTTTGAAAAGAGAAAACCAACAAGGCAATGAACAGACCAATCAAGTCGATCGAAATTGCGTTTGCCTGTCATCATCTGCTATTGCAAACTCCATCGTCCATCAATGAAATAGCTACAGGCCGTGCTTCGATAACCATGTCTATGAACTTTTGCTGATCACCAGTATGAGATTTTCTGACCCCATCTGGCATGCTAACGCAGGACATGCCCTCCTCAATATACCAACTCAGTTGTTCCTCAAAGCTGCGCCGCAGCAAAATATTGTATAGGAGTTTTATAAAGCGGCCGCTGAAAAGGGTGGAATAGAATTCTCTGTGGTTTCTTAGTACAAGCTCTGCCAGGTCGCTTGCTCTTTTAGATTCTAGTAGCAGCGCCACGGCTTTAAGGATCTCGTCTGACAAGGCTGATTGGCGACATAAAACTTTGACGGCGGCCCTTCTAACGTCTAAATCTTTATCATCTAACGGTACCACCACGGCTTTGAGGATCTCGTCTGGTAAGGCCGATTGGTGATCTAAGATTTTGATGGCGGCCCATCTGAGACCTGAAGCATTGTCTTCTACCCGTACCGCCATGGCTTTGAGGATCTCGTCTGGCAAGGCTGATTGGCGACCTAAAATATAGACGGCGATCTCTCTGACATCTGAACGCTTGTCATCTAGCCGTGCCGCCACAACTTTGAGGACTTCGTCTGCCAAGGCCGATTGGCTACCTAAGACGTCTACGGCAGCCCATCTAACGGCTGAATCTTTATCTTCTACCCGTGCTGCCACGGCTTTAAGGATCTCGTCTGCCAAGGTTAATTGGCGGCCTAAGACATCAACGGCGGCCTCTCTAATGTCTGAATCCTCGTTTTCTACCCGTGCCGCTACGGCTTTGAGGACCTCATTTGGCAAGGCTGATTGGCGACATAAGATGTTGACGGCGGCATCTCTAACGTCTGAATCCTTGTCGTCTAGCTGTGCTGCTACGGCTTTGAGGACCTTATCTGGCAAGGCTGATTGGCGACATAAGATGTTGACGGCGGCATCTCTAATGTCTGAATCCTCGTCTGCTACCTGTGCCGCTACGGCTTTGAGGACCTCATCTGGCAAGGCTGATTGGCTACCTAAGATTTTGATGGCGGCTCTTCTGACGTCTGAATTGTTATCTCCCACCCGTGCCGCTACGGCTTTAAGGATCTTGTCTGGCAAGGCTGATTGGCTACCTAAGATTTTGATGGCGGCTCTTCTGACGTCTGAATCCTCGTCTGCTACCCATGCTACCACGGCTTTGAGGACCTCATTTGGCAAGGCTGGTTGGCAACATAAGACTCCGGCGGCGACCCATCTGGCGGCAGCATTGATTTCATCCACCCGTTCTGCATCGTTGTCTTCCACCAGTGCTGCCACAGCTTTGAGGAACTCATCTTGCATGGCTGATTGGCTACAATAAGTTTTGGCGGCTCTTCTAAAGACTAAATCCTCGTCTTCTACCCATGCCATTACGGCTCTGAGTATCTCATCTGGCAGAGCTGATTGATGGACTAAGATTTTGACGGCGAAGCCTATGACGTCTAGATCTTTGACATCTAACCGCGCGGCTATGGCTTTGAGGATCTCATCTGGCAAGGCTGATTGGCGACATAAGATGTTGATGGCGGCATCTCTAACGTCTGAATCCTTGTCGTCTAGCTGTGCTACCACGGCTTTGAGGATCTCATCTGGCAAGGCTGATTGGCTACCTAAGATTTTGATGGCGGCTCTTTTGACGTCTGAATTGTTGTCTCCCACCCGTGCTGCTATGGCTTTAAGGATCTCGTCTGGCAAGGCTGATTGGCGACATAAGATGTTGACGGTGGCCTCTCTAACGTCTGAATCCTCGTCTGCTACCCGTGCCGCTACGGCTTTGAGGACCTCATCTGGCAAGGCTGATTGGCGACATAAGATGTTGACGGCGGCCTCTCTAACGTCTGAATCCTTGTCATCTAGCTGTGCTACCACGGCTTTGAGGATCTCATCTGGCAAGGCTGATTGGCTACCTAAGATTTTGATGGCGGCTCTTCTGAACTCAGGTTGAAAATTGATGTGAACTCTGTCTTATTTCGGGGGCCCGAAGGCCAAACTATATACTACGTAGGAAGTGACTGTATGCATAGGC